AGAGAGAGAGAGAGAGAGAGAGAGAGAGAGAGAGAGAGAGAGAGAGAGAGAGAGAGAGTGTAGGATAGTGTAGGGGTTGGGATGAATGAAGAGAGGAGGAGAGGAGAATGAAAGTAAAAAAGATAAATTCTGAACAAAATGAACATCCTGAAATTAAGTTCATTTTTCATGTATCCGTAGTATACCTTTTCTAATTTGATGATCAACTGTTTCCCACTTCTCTGCTGACTTTGTCACACCTAAGACTCATGTATGTGAGATGGTGTAATTACTGTGCCTGCCACTTGTCTTATTGCCTCTGGCCTCAGATGTCAACTAGGCAGCAGAGAAAACATTCTTCAACCAAGCAAGCATTTTCTAATTACACTTACCTGAGTCTCACATGTGATCAAGTCAGCCAAGAAGCTGGACAAAACAGCCATCACCTAAAAAAAAGATATTCTATGAATCTGTTAAACATTTACTTCTTTTCGGTATAACTAAATAATATCCAATGAAGTCAGCTGGAAAAATGAACATAGCTTACCTGAAAGATGGTGAAATGGTTATGTAATAGGCATGTTGGCCAGGACTTCAGTTATTTCAGTCAGGAGCTTCAACACTTTTTTTTTTGCTCTGATCTACAAGATGTCAAGTTGTTTGTCAACACTGTGAACCTTTGTACTATCCAGTTTATTTATTTATTTATTTATTTATTTATTTATTTATTTATTTATTTATTTATTTAAGCATGTTTATGTTTTTAATATCGATAAAATGTTTTCTACCCCTAGCTTGGCCTTGAGAACTGGGGTGCAGACTTGTCTAGCCATGCACTCAAGCAGATCTCTAACTGGCTGCCGTTCATCAAGCTTCTCCCCGAGGTGGACCCTCACCAGGAGAAGATGATGACTGAGTTGAGACAAAAGAACAAGATTGATGAGATTCTCAGGATTCAGTCCAGATTCATGCAAGTTACAGATCCTGAGGTATAAAAGCTGAATCAGATTTTAACTTTTCTGTATAATGGTAGTTTGTACTTATTTATTCATTTATTTGTTATTATTGTTGCTGCTGCTGCTGTTGTTGTTGTTGTTGTTGTTGTTATAAGTTTGTATTATTTTGACTATTTTTGACAACACCTGTACCCTCACACTCCCTGATCAAGATGATAGTCTAAACTAGTGGAGAACAAAAATTTAAAATTAACCTTAGCAGTTGATTGATGATACTGTTATAGTAACTGAGTTATTAAATTTTTCATACCATCATTTTTTGGATAGTTTAATGTGAAGTTGCTTGACAATGTCTCTGTTATTCCAGTCTCAATGTTAGTCCTTTTTTTATTCAGAGAATCCAGGATACCTTGCGAGAGCATGCCATCTTTGTGCGTGACCCACGTCAGGTACATGCTGTCTCCGTGTCCTCAAACAGAACAACGTACCACACCAGTGCAGTGTGGAGAAAACTGTATGCTAACCCAGATCTCTTCTCAGAGTATGTATAGTATTCAGTTATTACCTCCACTTATAACATACTAGTATACAAAACAGTGTGCACCAACCAAAGCTTTACTGTAAACCAGGCAAGCAAGGTCATTCACTCAGCCTGTATATTATTTAAATTTTAAATTTACTGATTGTTCAGGAAACTGCTAATTTTATAATACACATACAAAACTCATTAAATTAAATCCAGTTTGTGCCATTTGGCACTAGCCTTAAAAAAATTTGAATAACACTAGCCCACTTTTGGACCTTGATTGCAAGAGTGGCTAGTTGCCCAAAAAGTTTTTAATACCATCTGTAAACCCTTAAATTCATGTTTCTTTTGTTTATGAGAAAATCACAATCTGTAGACCAACTTCCATGTAAATTTTTAAATTCAAATGAAAATAGTCTAAGGTGGTTCATTTCAGCATTTTACTGTCCTTTATTACAATTCCAGCGACAAGAAGGATGACGGTACTTACCAGGAGTTTGATGAGAAAGACACTGATAATGTGGACTTCAGTAACAGACCCAGGAGTCCCAAGAAAAGAAAGGACAGTTATGATTATGTTAGCACAGTGCAGATGTTAGGTAGGAACTTAATATATGAAGGTCCATATGTATTAGACAAGGATAAAATGTATAAGATGTAGAATAAATGCGTTGGATGAAGGATAAATGTTTTAAATGAGGGTTGAATAATTTACAAGAGTTTTAAATTCATTGGAGGAGGATAAAATATGTTAGGTAAGAAATGGAAAGAAAAATGGTGCATCTAGCATCAATTACCAAAAAGGTAAAAAGATTTAATCAAAGTCTGCATATTCATTTTTTAATACTTTCATGCTCATGTTTATAAAAAAAAAATCAAACATTTATACTCGACATGCAGGCACACAGTCTGCATAAAGAGTTCACACACAGCATGTATTTTGTTTTCCTCGTGAAGGATTGGATGAAGGCAACCAGGACAGCAATGACCCAGTTAGCATGCAGGGGGGGTTCCTTACCTTCCTTCACCTCAGACACCTGAGGATTAGGGACTTGCAGAGAACCGTAAGTATTTCTGACTTTTACATTGAAGAGAACAGTAAGTGTTTCTGGTTGGAAGAAATCAGAGAGAACATTTCCTGAAAATGAGAATCTAGGATTTTCACAGAACAAAGAGTCTTATCTACTAGTTTTCTTTTCTACATCTAAGAGTCAGATATTGGAAAATAAGTATGACAAATGGAAGACATTTATTTAAAGCAGATAGTTTATGGTATGTTTAAATAATAAAAAATTATTTATAAGAGCATTTTTTTCTGTTTTGTTAAAATATTTTCAAGAGTAGTTTATTTACCTAAATTTAAATTAAAGATATTATACCTGTGATCAAATTTCTGTTTTGAGCCCATGTAGTCTCAGAACTATAGTATTTAAAACATATTTTTCCCAATTCCAGTGTTTGAGCATCCTGAACTACTTCCGTTCAGTGGAGAGAACTATCACCATTAATGACAGGGGTCTTTCATTGGAGGCTGGGAAGCTAAAGAAGTCTAGGTATGTGCACAAAATTAGACTGATTTATTAATTTATTCATTTTTATAAATATATTTTTTTAATTATTACTTTTTTCCATTTTACATTGACTATGATTATGGCTTATACAGTGTTCCTATAAAACTTATAACTTTAAACAAGAATGCAGCACATTTTGAATTATTATTATTATTTATTTATTTATTTATTTATTTTTTTTTTATTAATATTATTATATTCCAGTCCCCAGAACCACAGGCGTGGTATCCCAGAGTCAGGAGGTATAGGTGGAGGAGGCAGCCTGGGATCTCATGCTTATCTCCACAATACTCCCACAGATTTCAAGTGAGAAAATTTTACAGTTGTTGATTTTAACATTTTTTATTTTGATTTTTCAAATAATTATAATATCAATGATATATCCTCCACCTCAGGGCTGTGAAAATTAGGGAGCAACAATACCATAGATTGTGGATGAAAATTGACCAGTGTTAGGCTGCAGTGTTTTTAGGTCAATAATATTACTGTAACAGTATCTGTGCTTTTTATTTTCATTTTTGATTTTTTTCTTGTTTCTATCATTTTTGGAAAACTACAGTAGATTTTATGGAACATGCCTCATAAAAATCTGATTTTATTGTAACTTTTTAAAAATTATTTTTTTATTAATCAGAGTGAGTGAAACAGAGTTCATGGAGTTCTCAGAAGTGGAGAACCATGATGATTTCTACACGATGGATGAAGGAAGAATCCATGTTCAGGACCAGAGAGGTTACTTCATCATGTACGACGCGGCCCTGGATGACCTCAAGTTAGTGTTGACAGCTCTCAGAACGATTTGAACAAAAATATCTTTTATAGAATAATTAGAACAAAAATTACTTGTGTTAATAGAATAAGCCCTAACAAAAAAAGGGAAAATATAAAATATATATGATTGCGACCCTCTATTACATATTAATCTCCAGCAGTTAAGATGAATTAGGAATAAGTTGAAAGGTAAGTTCAGTGACCAGGACATAATTACTGTGTACAAACATGTGGTTACTTCCTAATGTTTTGATTGTTTAATCAGCAATTGTCAGAACTTGTTGACAGTTACTGTATCCACTGTGATAGTAAAATGTGATAGTATTCCACATCTACAAATAGGCAACAACCCCCCTCTTCCACAAAACAGAAAAGGAAAAAAGGGAAAAGCCTTGATAAAATGATGGCTCCTTTAGTACATGATTTTTCTTCATGATTTGCAGAAAACTTGAGCAGGACCTCCTTCTGGTGGCAACTCACTACATAGAGAAGGACAGAGATACAAGAACTGTTAGCGCTGTACAGAGAACACCATCTGCTAAGAAACGACAGGTTTGTAGTATGAAGAGGAAAATATTCAATATAAGAGACTTTGGTCCATCAAAGAGTTGGAACAGTTAACAAGAGAGATGAGATGGCATGTCTGTGAAAAGTTTTGACTTCAAAAGCCACTGTGTTAAACCAATAATGTAGAGACCTGAGTGATTTGTCGTTTGTTCAGAAAAATAGAAAGATGAATTTTGCCATCAAAGCTATTCTCAGCAGTAAAATATACAGGCTTTCAGCATTGTATCCCAGATTTCTTGTGTGTGTTTTTATTATGACCTTGTTCTTAATTGTAGCAACAGTCAGCGGGTGACTTTGACATCCCCAGCTATTTACAGTGTGTTTCTATCTTATTGTATCTAATTGTAGCAACAGTCAGCGGGTGACTTTGACATCCCCAGCTATTTACAGTGTGTTTCTATCTTATTGTATCTAATTGTAGCAACAGTCAGCAGGTGACTTTGACATCCCTAGCTATGCCCACAGTGAGGTGGACAGGTTTGCTGTTCTGCTGGATCTCTGGAATAACCATGCTGCTTTTCTGGAGTGCAAGAAAAATGTAAGATTTTGAAGAATATGTGGAGCCAAAGTTTATTTTTGTGACCAATTATTTGTATGTCCTGGATATTTTTAACAGTTTTATTCATTATTAGGTACAAATCAAGTCAAACTACCATGTATTTCCTAGTTACTACTTGACAGTGTAATTCATCGCAGTACACTTTTTTCATTGAGACTGCCTCTGATATGTAAATATAATCAGTCAGATATGTTCACTGATTACCTTATATATTTATTTATTCTTTGGTCAGTTTATTTATTTATTCAAGTATATCTATTTAATGAGGTAGTTATTGTTTATTCAGTTTTATTTTTATGGAAATTATAATTTCAGCTTCTTGATTGCTACATGGAGGCATACCAGCATGTATTTGACAGAGATGAGAAGAAGAGCATGGCCCAGGTGATCACCAATATCATGTACAGGGTTCCCAGATATGACTTCAAGGGGGGCTACTTTGTGAAGTCCTACAGACAGGAGTGCATCAGTCTCAGGCTACAGACCACTCTTGTAAAGTCTGTGTTAGATAAACAGGTAGGAGTAACAGTTTTTGGAGTCCTTAACCTGTGGAAGAAATTGCAGTGCTTTAGTTAAAGGAAGACAATCATTTAAGATTTTATAATTTTTTCACAAAATGCCTACATGGCTTTGATTTAACTGTTTTTTCTTGGATGAATTGCATATAAAAGATGTTATTTTGGATCCAGTTGGATCATTTTAGCAGTATAAAGAAAACAATTTGCACATTACAATTTTGTGTGCATATTGTGGTTTGTAGTTATTTGATTGGTTGATTTGAGATCAAAAGCCAGCAAGAAGACAATCGTGCAATAGTGCATGCAGATAAGGAGTTAAAATTTAGCTGCATTGTGATTGATCAATTTCAGATTGAAGATCAGCGGGAGTACATTCAGCATGTGTGTCGAGAGGGGGGTGCAGAGTTTGGTTTACCATACAAAGTCATTCCAAAGCAACTCATATCAATTAACATGGGCAGGTAAGGAAAAAGTAGCTTGCATTAGTGAACACTGGCTCTTAGTTAAAAGCTAAAAATTAAAATTATATATGGTCATTTATTATATTTGAGGTATTGAAGGCTTTGATATAGCTTATTGGCAATCTGATTTTCATTGGTTTCTTGAGCTTGAAATATTATGATTATTGGATGATTGGAAAATAAGCAAAAGTAGTGCTTGAATTACAGATGAAATTACAGTTCTGTTTACTTTCACTTACATTTCAGCTAAATTCATCTTTCTTCCAGGTTTTTGTACATGAAGTTGTGAAAAAAACAATATAATTTAAATATAATAAAGTGATTCCATGAAACGGCAGATTTTGCATAACTACCGGGGTAAAACACTTTGGGATCTGAAAATTTGTCTGAGTGTTTCAAAATTCAAGTCAGGGACTATTAACAAGTTTCAGCATTTACCAATTTGAAAGAAAAAACATGTTATATGGAGATCACTGTGAGTGCAAAAAATACTGGAAAAAAATTGAGTTGATACCCAATGATTTCCTGTTCAATTTTCAGCCAAGAAGATGACCCCATACCTAGGTAAAAGATCTGGAGAAGTGCTGAATACTAGTATTGAATATGTTGACTTGGTGATGAATTAACATGCATGCTGTTGTATAGCAGTTAGGGGACAATTTTGGCTTTTGTCATCCGTGTGAACTTGTAAAGGAGAGATAGATTGGCAAAGAACTATCAAATCAAAAGACACCAATAGTCTCTAACTTGTACTGAAATTATGTACAAAAAAATTGTTGAGAAATTTGAAAAAGGTTGGACTCTTAATAAAAAAAATTATAATGACTTATATAAAAATATAGTGACAAAAAAGAACATCACAGGAAAACATGATTTTTTTCAACTTTGACACAAATAGGTCAAGACAGAAAAGCCAATAGTCACATTGCTCCAAACTGCTCAGATTCGTGTATCATGTTGTTTTGCATGATTTTTTTATGATGTTACTGTCTTGATAATTTATAGTGCAGTGAACATAAAACCATTGTTCTGTTTCAGCTGCTTGCCCTCAAAAGTTAAAAAACGGCCGCCAGATGGCGGGACGGTGCAGAAGTAATAACACGACAACTGTAACATTTCTGCCTGCATTACAGCTTTTTAGTGATGTCACATATTTATGATGATGATGATGATTTTTGTTGTTGTTTTTGTTATTGTCACTGTTGCTAAGGCAAGACTGAATGATTAATTTTGAGACTTTAAGTGATAAATATTCCTTTCATTTGTCCTATTGCTGGAAATCTGTCAAAAAAGAAAAATACATTTTATGGCGGTAATCAGAAAGTTACAAATCATACTAAAAAAGTACAGTTTCTGTTCAGTCTTGCTTTATAACAAACTGCATGCTTGTATCTCAGTTTAACTTGAATGTAAAATTGCACTGCATGCTATTGTATGGTTGGCTTTAAAAAAAAAAAACTCAGCTTTGCTTTTAAATTATTTGAAGTGCCAATATCCGAAAGTATCAGCTAATTTAAAAATGTTGTGTTATAAGGAAAGGTTTCCAGATAAGACAGATCTGCAGATACTTCTCCATGAAGTTGAAGTATTCACCTTGACTTATATCTGAAGGTCATTCCATCATCATCTCTCACACTCATTAGGCAAACATTGTACATTCACTTTTTCCTTTTATTTTTTGTTTTTATTTCATATTATATTTATGTTATTTCACGTTCAGTATTAAGCTTATTTCATAGGCACAGTCAAGTATTCAATCACATATATATGTCCCTTACTTAGATTTAATTTGTAGAATTATTAGTTTTGAATAAGAAAAAATACCTGCCAACTTTTAAGAGTGGTTTCAGTACAATGCAATATATATCTAGTATTTCAAATCACTATTCAGTACAGTACATATTTAGTAATTTACATCACTATTCACATGAATTAAGAACATTAGTTTCACAGCCTCACAAAATGCTATCACTTTCAATAGATTTGAGACAAGATGTTTTTTTTTTGGGGGGGGGGATTGAGCTGCAAAAAATATGAAGTAAAATTGCTCTGGTGTTTCAAAATGATTTATAATTATCATATAATAAGTAAAAGTTTCATAATCTTAAGAACAATTTAATGAGGTCGGTACCTTATGTTTATAGGGTGGAGTTTTTTTTTTGTCTGATTTACAATTAGGTGAATCCCTTTGTTCATTCTTTTCATTACACTTACCCTGGAATTTTTTTTTTTTTCACCTTTTTCATTATTGAGTTTTCTTATGTGTATTTAGCACGTCATCATCCTGTTATATGTTGTCATGAGTCATAATGTTTTAGCAGTACATAACCCCACCTCCTGCGCCATTCCAGATCAGCTCTGAGGAACATCTACATGCTGGAGTTCCACCCAACTCTGGCTGTGGCCAGCAGGATACCTGAAGCCATCAAACATGCCTTCTGGGTAATTACTATTATTATACCTACCTACTAACCTACCAACCTACCAGTACCTAGCCACCTACCAACCTACCAGTACCTAGCCACCTACCAACCTACCAGTACCTGCCCACCTACCTACCCATTAAACAGGCACACCCAGACAGACAAGCATATACACACGCACGCACGCACGCACGCGCGCGCGCGCACACACACACACACACACCTTTTAGATATGCTTCACATTTGATCATAACTTCATTTTTGCAAGCTTTGAGAATAATTTTGACCCAGGACTTTTTATCATACAGTAATGAGTAAAGCATCCAAAATTCCCCTTCACTAGTAAGTATGATGGATTTCTTGAAGTGTTGTAATTTTATTGTTACCATTTTACACTTGATATTCCAGGAACTGTACCATGTCCACAAGCCAGAGTCTGTCACAGATCAGTTGTCTATGGAGAGAAAGCTGCTGGAGTGTGCCCTGAAGGAGTGGGACAATTTACCCACCATGGGGTCCTCATACTCCCCACAGATACAGAAAGACGTAAGTTTGTCACAGGCATATAAGGGTCCAAGCAGAAAGTTGTGTTTGAAAAGATGTCTGTATAAGAATGTGTAAATGTTGACATCACCATATATCTGCTATTATTTTTTAATTTGCAGTATTTTGACATTTTGATAGGGATACCCAGTCTTTGTGTTTCCATGACATTTAAGTTTGGTATAAATAAAGGCTGTCCTAGCTGGCCAAATATCAATCAACCTGTCTGCTGCACTTGTCAGTGTATTGTGTTAAATTGATAAATTAATTCTGATACAACACAGATTGGAAGAGATATAAATGGAAAAAGAATCAAGTTTGGATTTATTCATATCATTTCACTGCTGTTTTTTCCCCAGCTGTTCTCTGATGTGTTTGTTGAAGACCCACTGTTTGTGTGTGAGATAGCCCAGACCCTGGTGGCCCAGGAGGAGGAGAACCCAGCCAACAAGTCCACCAAGGAGAAGACTGTGGCCAGAATCAGAGCTATAGGAAGGCTGATGGAGGTGAGGACACAGAAAACACTGTAAAAGGCAGGAAGCCCTCCCTCCCCTAGACTTCCACTGTTTTGTGGATTGTGTGCAAAATTTAGCACTTTCATGAGTTTTTTGTTATGCACATAAATGGAGGCAATATTCTAGAAAGAAGAAAGCTCTCATGCCATGTGTGGTATGTCATGTCATTCAGGTTATCAAAAGAGGGGAGAAGGACATTTTTTTTTTCTTTTTATAATAAAAAAAGGAGTTTGGGGCATTTTAATGTGAATAAAACTTTTTCTCACAAACAAAAATGTTGCAATATATAAATAATTTATTTAATAGATATTTTACTTCATATTCTTGCAGGCTGTGACTCTGAGATACAGGTTGATGGATGCAGCATCTGAGTCTGAAATCCTGTCTAAGGTATGATAAGAGGCAGCGCATACTTAATTTTCATGAAACCAATCTATTGTCTTTGATTGAATATTTTGGTAGAAAATCATATCATACACTTATAAAAATATCAGAAGATTGAAAGAAGACTCTTCATGAATTGTTTTGGGAAATATGTACATTTCTGCAGTAAAACGGAATTAATCAAATAAGATTCTGAATTTTATCAGACATCCAATAATTTGACATAATACATAAAAGATTTTAAATTTATGACTAAGTTGTAACACTTAAAAGTTTAGTATAATAATAGATCCAAGAGCTTCAATTTATACAAACTTAATAATAATTAATTTTAATTTGTTCACTCCATTAGTTTGTTGCAGATTTTAGCAAGAGACTTGTTTCTCTACATTCTCATTCTCAGTTATTTATCCTTTACTTATCTCCAGGTGTACAGGAAGCAGTCAGTGGAGCTGAGTTTTGATGAGTACCACCTGTTCCTGCAGTTTGTCCAGTTTGAGTTTGCCACAGTGAAGCCAGATGCTGGTAAACCTCCCCCAGTGTACATTACTGCCATTCAGGAGGATGACTTTGGGGTGGCCAAGTAAGGGCTCAAAGTTGATAGTGATAATATATTTTATTTATTCATTTTTTTATATTATATTAATCTATCTACCCTATCTAAAACCATTCAGAAAGTTATGATTCATAAACCCATTTTTGAGGACTAAGTTATGATTTTTAATAGCTCTCATAATGAAGATAGAGACTGGTGAAGTTCATATTTTATGATAAAAATAGAAATTTAGAACTTGGATTGTAGATAATTGTCCTTTAAAAAAGGTTCAGGATTGGGATTGCTGTGGTTATCAAGGAAAATTTGATGAAATGTCCTGAAAAATTCATGTTTTTGCCACACATTAGTCTAATGCACATTGTATTCCTCACACAAATAAATTATGTAATTTCCTAACTCTCATCTCTAGATATGTCCCCAACCATTTGTATCTTGGAATCCATGAACTCGACCAGGGGCACGTGGGAAGGTTCAGCTTCAGGAGCAGAGATGGCGTTTTACAGGTACACTGCTAACAGACAAACATCTGGCATAGATTAACTTTACATCTCGCCCTGCCGTTCCACATCCAACATTTGTGATTTCTTTCCTTCACATTTTCTGATTTCACAATCGCAATCTAGATTAAGTTACACAGTAAAATGGCCATATATGTTATTGCTGTAGCTTATATGTGCACCTCTTGGTATAAAATTATTGAGTTCACTGTTTTCCTATATCAACATTACAGATAATGAAGGGTCAGGGACTGGAGAGTCTACAGGCTGTGTACATGACACAAGTGGTCCATAAAAATGCTCTGATTTCTGCCGTGCTGCAGGCAGACGCTTGTTTACCAACTAAACAGACACCCCTGGAGATAAAAAGGTAAAGGCCAGTCTCTAGTCACGCTGTGCTTGCTTAAATTATGGTTATTACTTGTTAAAAATAATTTCAAACATCTTATAGTCCAGCATTTTACTTTTTCTGACAAGAAACCAACTAACTTTGCAAAACTTTTGGATCAACATTTTAACTTTTTCTAGCAAAAACATTGCTCAGTGCAAATATAGTAACTCATGTTGTTTGAATTTAATGAGTAATATTCATGTGAGGAAATCTCTGTTAGAATAATATTTAACTACAAGTGCTTTAACAAACAAAGAAACTTATAATTTAAACTAAAATGCATTCTGGTTCCCAGTGTTGGCATTGGAGCTATAACTGATGACTCCAAAAGTGAGAAAAGCTCAGTTACCATAGGAACAGCAATGTCGGCATCCACTCAGGGGGCAGCACTGCAGTCCAAGATAAACTTCCATAAAACCAAAGGAAGGTCTCCAGAGGCCTTTGTCTCTTTGCAAATGGAGAAGGTAAATATAATGTGAAAGGGGCACCATTCCTAAGACATTGACCCATTACATTATTCTATACAAATACTCTTGGCAGTGGGCCTTTCAAGCAATTAAGTTCTAAAAATATAAAATATTGTATAAAAGCATAGTGAACATGGACTTTTGTGATTTGTCACATTCTGAGTTTAAACTTTCAGCTGTTGAAATAAGAACACATGCATGTACATGCACCTGTATGCAAAGCCCACATACTCATGCACACACACACACATGCACACACACACACACACACGTGCACACACACACACACACACACATGTGCGCGCACACACACACACACACACACACGTGTACACACACACACGTGCACACACACACACACACACGTGCACACACATACCTGTATTTAGCTGATATGGATAGGGTACACTGATATTAAGTTTACCATGGTATGTTTTTCCTTCAGGCTCCATTCAGAGACTTGATGTTAAATGAGTACCTGTCCAAGAAGGCGTCCATGGGAACTGTGCTCAGGAACCCAGAAGAAGTGGAGAAATTAAAAAGGTAATGATGGTATTTACTTAAATGCTTCTTTGTTTGTTTGTTTGTTTGTTTGTTTTAGAAACTCAAAAGTTATTCATATTTCTTTGTTCCATGAAATACTATGTGACATTGCAGTTTTTCTTAACATAGTCAGTGAAAATATTTCGTGGTTTAAAGTATCAAAAGTTTTATTGCAACTGCCTTGCCGTATGTCATTTTGATGACACCTTTGACTGAATGAAATGCCTTAATACCCAATTATATATAGAGAATTTAATTTATTGATATGTCTGTATAAGATAATATGAAATTAATTCCTAAAAATGTTGTTTATTGTCTACTTCAGGAGACTTGTGCGCGAGTTCTGTCACCGTAGCTGGGAGCGCATTTCTCAGTACTCACTGAGAGCTCAGATTATAGCTTACTACAACAGCATACTGGGCCTGCTGCAAGATTTCCCTAACATTAGGTAACAAATTGATATTTTTTTTTCTTCAAGTATGAGTTTGGGTTGCATCATCAAACAATTGAATGCATATAAATTGAAAACAAAAATCCTTTAATTAAAATAATGAAAATTTTATTTTTACATTTATTCATTTCATTTATTTCCAAAAGAAATATTCTACAGAAGTAGAGAATTTCTAAAAATGACCAAGGCTTGTTTTTCTTTTCCCAGGGACACATATTTTATGCTGGGAGAAGCCAATGAGAAGAAGAACGAGAAGATGGACAGTCTGGCTGGTTTGGAGGCTGATCCAAGGTAAATGAGGGGCTTCTTCCTCAGGACTTACTCTGCTATGTCTGATATTTGCTGATGATTGAGAAATAATTTGATATCATTCATGAAGGGGAAAAAAGTACAATTTTGAATGCAATAGATCCTTTTATATTAAATTGTATATGATTACTCACTTATATCGAACAGATGGAATTTTTATTATTTCCCAAACGGCAGTTAAAAATATTGTAAAGACTATTGTTTTTGTAGAAAACTAGTTGGTTTCCTATCAGAATTTTTTCATTTTTTTTTTCTTTTTTAGTTTGAAGTGGTTAAAAATATTGAATTTAATAACAAATTTTCAAACAAAATGATATATTAAAATTATTGTGGTATGATTCCACTGCATTCTTCAATTTTCTCAAAGGGAGTTAAAGAAGAGACCAAGAAGAGTACTCACAAAAGACGGCAAGCATGTCCTCAACATCTGGTTCATTCCACACCATTCAGAAACTTTAATAATCTACAAACACATGGAGAACGAGGAGTGCGGACATGCATTACGACTTCACCTGCGCATTGTGGCCTCATTGCACGACATCCTGCAGTACCTTTGTGCACATTCCAAGCTGGGCAGTTCGCACGCACGACTGGGTTCAAAGAAAATGGATTTTGTGTCAGCTGATTGGGGAGGCACTGAAGGCATAGGTACTTTTAGCAGTAGATAAATGCATAAGTAAAAGTCTGTATTGATGTTTTCTCTCTCTCTCCCCCCCCATTGGCCTTGGATGGCATTTTTTATATACAGTTACTGTAGTGTCTATGAAGATTCTTGCATCTATCCATATAGCTGCAACAGATGAATCTTTTTAATCAATATTTTTAACATCAATATAATGGTATTGGTAGTTTCTCAATACATTTCTCCCAAATAAGTTAAATTTGTATTTTGACTATACACATCACATACCTTCACTTACTTTTAGGGAGATGTTTTAAATTTCCAAATCAATGTTTACGATTCTAATCTGTTTTCCAGGGGCTGACCTTCGTGAGATACAGAAGCAGATTGACTTTTTAGAGAGCCCCACTGACCCGGAGCAGATTGCAACCTTCCTGCAGATGAGGCGCGAGGTCATGTTCCTGGAATTTGAGACGGCAGTCAGACACAGCATGAGAGATACATTCCTGGCCACTGGGAATTCTCATGCCTTTAAGGTAATTGATGTAAAGATAAATGCCCAGTTCTCAAAAATATTTCATTTTGTCAATTTGCCCTTGGCCATAACCTGTCTAGATCATTGTTCTTAGGCAGATTACAATTTTGCCAATTGGTCATCATTGAGTCATGTCCAGGAGTTCATTCTGATAGCCATGTATCCTAGATAAACACCCTTCCCACATTAATTTGGATCTGCTTTACTTGGTCCAAACAATCCTTCTAGATTGTGATAATAATTTTTAACTAAAGTTAATCTTACAACCAGTGTCAGTTACAGTGAAGGTGGGTTAAAAGAGATATCAGATTATCGCCCTGTGGTGCGATAACCGTAATCAGATGGCCTGCTGACTTAGTCCACACTAAATGCAATTTTGATGACAAATGTGTGTCTTCCATGTCCTGCAATGATTCTTTTTACATTTTCAATAAAGAAAGCAATTAAGAAAAGATTACCTTTCTGTAGGCCATCACCAAGAACATGTACTACGCCCTGCCAGCGCTGAGCAATGTCCAGGAACCGTGTCTGACCGCCATGTATCTCAATGTACCAGAGCCACTGGAGGCCAGGGACCTGAAGGCTAGTCAGCTGTATCCATGGAGGGCATTTATTAACAGGTGATTACCCTGAGGCTCAGAGGTTACTGGGAACTCACTTGACTGTGTTATCAGCATGTGCTGTTTTCAGGAAGTGGCCCTGGTGACCTCTGAAATTTGGGGTTTTCCTCAAAAATGGGCAGATTGAGGGACTGCTGAACTCAGTCACTGACTTTGATTGCTCAGAGTCATTCTCTTTGCGGTTTATTTATTTAAAAAATGTTCACAGATTTGCTTTGCAAATGCTTTGAAAATACAGTTTATTTTGGTTACGATTATTTCAGTTTTTGTATTATATTTGTCACTATAACATTGATTTAGTTAAATTAATGTCATTTAGCTGCAGCAAACAAATGCAAATTATGTTTTTGATTAATTTGTAGACTTAGATTGTAACTTGGACCTCAATATTTCTTTGACTTAAAAATTGGGATGTTACAGCTCTTTTGTCTGCTTTAGAATAAATTGCAGTAACTATCATGAGAAGATTTCCTCAAAAATTTGATGAAAGTTATGAAATTCAAAACCATAACTAGATTATTTTTCTTCTATTTAGGAATGGTCCTTTCCCTCTGATGTTCTGGCAGTTTCAGCAGATAGAATACAACATGCAGCTGTGTTTGGCAGGACTGAGAGATGTGGATAGGTGAGGTTTGATTGATCTTTGAACTTGTGTTTATGCATTGATACTCTTTGGCATTGTTTCTTATGCAGCTGTAAGACTTAGAAATGGAATTGAGACTATGGTACACATAAGAAAATGGAATTTTACAATGTATCATTTTTTTCTTTTTGTTCTTTACCTGACACAGCATTTACTCAGACCTGATGATAAAACTGGTTAGAAAACTACATACTCCTAGTTGTTTTCCTTTTTAACACATGGTTCGTTCCCACAATTATGTTGTTCTCTGTATCTAGGCATGTTGCAAATGGAGAAATTCTTGGTGTGTCTCTTCTCATGGAAGATGTTCTCCAGAGTGGTTACTATGACACCTCCAATGTCTCAGCAGATGATGATGAGGAGGAAGATGTGGAGACGAAGAGCAGGCTCAGTGTAACTCCCAAACCCTCCAGACCAGGTAGGAGATCTCTACATTGCCTAGAATATCTTGCTATGGATGTAATATGTAATTCACTATGCTTGTAGTCCAAAAAAAACAACTTTTTTTAAATGAAAAATAACAGTAGTGAATATAGATGTTAGTAGCAATTTCATGGTTTCCTTGGGATAATGGTAGCTTTATAGTTTTTTTTTTTTTTTTTTTTTTTTTTGTAATATGTTAGAGGCTTACATTTTTTCAAATAGGCCAGATAATTTTTTTTTTCAACTCAGTTGCCAGTAGATTTGATAATTCTTTTTCATGGGTCATTCTTTCAGATTTATTTTACTTACTCTAACAACTTTATCTCATAGTCATCATTTATTTTTAAATGCAGTACAATAGATTGGTGTATATATTTTTCCTTTTTTTGCTTATTTGATCTTAGCTTTTAGTTATTATTTATTTCTCTATTCCTTACTAACCTAGGGACAAGTTTAAGTACAGCCAAGACTGAGAGTTCTTTGGACATAACATCTGAAATAGGTAAGATTACTTCTTGATTTGGAACCTTAGATGCTAACATGTTGCTGAAATTTATATATTTATAGCAAACTACTTCTGTGTAGCTTGAACGCATAAAGTGCTTTTTTTTCTAAAACATATTTGAACATCATTATGTGAAGCATTAGCATGTAATCCTTTTGCCTTTAGAAAATTCCATAGTTAAGTGCTTTTTTTGTTTTTTTATATTTGTGCATATTTGATCATTCTATTTCAGTCATATACAGTCAAATATTTGAGCATAATATTTTATGTTTTATTCTATTTGTGCATTGCACTTTGATGAATATGAGAAAGATATGTTTAATTGCTGCAAAAAAAATTCACGGTTAAGTACTCTTTTTATAAATATTCACTTGTAAGGGTTGGATCCAATTTTTTTCTCTTGACAATTCCAATTATTATATAGAATTTTTTATCATTTTTCCTTCATGACTTTTCTAATATGAAATCCCAAATTACTCTAAACCTAAACATGCGCATTGATCATATTGTAATTGCTTAGATCTATTAGAATTTGAACAAAATATTTTGTTTAGAGTACAACTTTTGACCACTTTCATCGCATTTTTAACATGTAAAAAAGATTTATTTTCCCCTTGTAATGATTTTTTTATTATTTGAACATTTAAACTTATCTACTCATTTCTGACAAGGGAGTACCTTTCAGATTCCTAATAACTAGTCTGCACCAAAATCTTTTTCATCTACTTACATTGACGGTGTAAGAAACTACTGACCAAAAGCAGTAACTTAGTGAATTCACTATCATATTTAAATTTTACTGGCATTTGGCATGGTGAGGGCAGTGTTAATGTCTCAGACTTCTTCTACCAAGTTAGATTTATTAACTCAGAGATATATATTATCCTCTCTTAAGCTTCGTCCCCCTCCCCTTCTCTGTTAATGAGGAGGCCCCTTAGTGGGTGGCCCAGAGGAGGACTGTCCTTCTTGTCCAAGATTAAAAAGAAGAGGGGTGAGACAGATGGAAGGTTTTGTTTGATTGACCAAAAATTGGTTTGCGTGATAATTTGCTTGAAGTGAATGTTTCGTGATATTATAAACTGATTGAGAAAAAGTTTATGTTGTGTTGCAGAATGATATGTTTTTATTCTAGGTCTTGTTTCAAGATTTTTTTGTTTGTGCATGAAGTGCATTTTTGATTGTTATTTTTGATTATTATGTCAACATGATGAGATGCAGTAATTAATTTGATCGTTATCACTTATACCTTTATTATTCATTGCCTTTTTTATCATTTTGTTTGTCAGTTCGTAGGAGGAGAGGTAAAAAAGTGTTATAACAACATAATAGAATGCCTTTATTTTAATAGCTTTATTCAGTTTGTAGTTTTTTTAATCATCATTAATTTGCATGTAGTTTCTCATTACAATTAAAAAACAAATTATTTACTAGTACAACTACTGCTATTTCTACTAAATTAACTATTAGTTATTCTTTCCTGGGGACAGGTTATGCTCATTTGTGGGTTTAAACACTGGGTTTCAACAGCAGAAATCTTTTAAAGAAACTCTGTCTTGACAAAATCAAGCTGTAATCAAGCTTGTTATTCAGTTATTCAGCTTTTTGTGCTTATATTCAGATGAAAGCTGATTTCTGTAACCAAACACATGGTTTAGTCCGATTACTACTGTTGAAACTTAAGGCGGACAGAGCCTTTGTAGTTGAAATCGGGTTAATGGGGCTTCATGTTTTTATTGCTTTTCATAAGAATTAAGGAAACTGCTGAATGAGTAATTGGTCTTTTCAGTTACATCTCATCTCCTTTTTTTTTTTTCTTAAAAAAGGTTTTTGGTCATAAAAGCTGATTTCTTGACTCACAATATTTTTTGGATTCCATGTCCAGTAGAGTCTGGCTCTAAAACATATTTTACTGTAACAAAATAAATGGAGATAATTCAAATAAATAAATAAATAGATATCTAGACTGAATACTTACTGAAAAAAGATTGAAATTGATAGATGCAACAAAAAAGACCAATTTTTGTACAGTAGCATTTTTTATTTTCAATAATTTTAGCAAAAAATAAGTGTAAAAGTTTCTGCAAATGTCAAGTATATTGCTAGCATCTCTTGTGAATGTTGATAATTTATGTTTATGAAAGGATTAGATTTTAGTGTTAGTATAATACATACAGTGTAGACAAAAGTCGGCTTTTATGTAGGCATTCTGTTTTTTAGAAAAAGAACCACTAACAAGGAATCTCATATTTATAAAATTTATAACTAGTTAATAATTGTTAAATATACCATTCCTATAAAATTTCTTATTTCTGGTATCAATAATACTGTGTTTTATTTTATTTACAGTTTTCTTGATACTACATGTAATATTTGTTTTATATCATTTGTTTACTTTATAATGTTACCTTTCATATGATACTCTGCTGCCATTATACAGACTTTTTAAAAAGCTTGAACAAAAGTTAATTTTGTGCTGTCTCTTTAATGCTAAAAAATAAATAAATAATTAAATGGCTACTTACTCTTTACTAAGGGACAAGTATGCAGTTACTCACTAATAGTATTTTAAGATTAACATTTTTTAGAATACAGTTTTATATGAAGTTTGTTTTATTTTGTATCCATGTGTAGATTTTTATAACTGTAATGTTAGTAATATGTAGCTCTGTTAGAAAGCTGCTAGGTGTCTGTTAAATTTATTGAATTTTTTTTTTTTTAATGAAAGTCCGCATCTGTCACCAAAGGGCCAAAATAATTTTAGCCTTGCTTTCATTTGCCTGATGATGCTTTCATAAAAATATATATATATCAAGCTTTTCACGATTTTCCAGTAATAGATGGAATGTTACACTTATACAAAACTCTGGGTGTATTCTCTTTAGACTTTCTTGGGAGCAGCTATTAGTAAGAATAAGCATAATGAACAGGGGGGTTAACTAGTTGTTTTGATTGCAGTTGATTTGGTGAATGCACAGCATGTTGTTATTGATGCTGTTGGTATCTCATGTAGCAGAGTTATTTGCAGTTAATTCTGTAAAATTTTCACAATGATTGCAACATTAAAATGGTTTACAACCAATCTAGAAAAGTCTGATGTGAATTCACCCTTGAAACCCTGTCGGTTACAAACTACATATAAAGTTGATTCTATTTTCTAACATGAATGAGTCTTGTAACCTATGACTTGCCAATATTTCCAGCCAAGAAAAACTTATCACGTACCCAGCAACCCATAGAATCATACAAGCTGCTCAAAATCTTCCTCATTCTTTGGAAGAGGTTGGAGATCTTCAAATATGACTGGGGCCAAAGAAAACTTGGAGTGGAGAAAATTGAGACACCTTTTCTCTACAAAGAGTTCTGGTAAGGATTATTTGTGTAGATGTTCATTGAAAGTAAGAGTGGGAAAAGGTGAAACTGGATTTTTTTTAATAAAAAAAAGTTGGAAAGAATATTTAATATTTAAACTGATATTTTGGAAAACTGCAATTAAAATTATGCACAAAAAAGTTCAGGAATTTGAAGGAATATGGACCTTTGACAGCAGGTCTCTGAAAAAAAATTACTGAAATGTTGTAAAGAGATTTTGCTCCCTTAATTCACATTAAGACAAAGATGTTGATAAATAATGATGTTGATGTTGAAAATAAAATAGATAACATTGTCATTAAAGAAAAAAGAAATGAAAAAAAAAATGGAAAATTCTATTTAATTTCATTTATCTTGGTATAATGTCCACATATGATTTCCCCTTTATAAATCCATAAAAAAAACTTTTTAAAAATAAATGAATGTGATGTACACAAAAAGTCTTTGTGACTGTCACTATTTCTTTCATTTCAGTAAAATCTACCGTGCAGAGAAGCTGTTCCCTATCCTACAGAGTGTGGCAAGGAGGTACGGTCAGGGGGACCTGTATGACGGAATGGTCTCTGATCTCCAGCCTCTGGTCACCCCTGCAGGAGCCTCTGAGATCGAGATGAGGGTCAGACAGGTAAAATGAACTAATAATTAATAGATCTGGACATTTTAGTATTTGTTGAAGAGGGCCTGTAAGAAGTCATGTTATCAGACATCTGCCCCTTTAAATTGGCTGAAATACGTAACATTAATAGTCTCCTTGTGTTTTGGGTGCTGAGGTTGTGTCTAAGTTTTTGAGCTGAAGAATGGACAGTGCAGAAAAATAACCCAAGTTTCAAATGAGAGTCCCTTAATTTAATCATTATAAATTTAAATTGAAATATTTATGATTAAACTTAATCTATATTATTTGATAACTTATTTTACTAATTCTTTTTAGAATAATTAGAATTAGTAATAATTAGAAATTCTAATTTCTTTGTGATAACAGTTAACACAGACATATGTGATTTTATCAGAGATCAGCACAATTTGGTTCGCATGGGTTGCCACAAAGGCAAAGTGGGCAGTTCAGTTTTCAAGACCCTCTCCTTACAAAATGTGCCTTTCTCCATATTTCAGCTCCTGAAGCTGTGTGAGAGTCTGGAAGAAAACATGCTCAATGAGCTGAGGAAAAAACTGGCCAAGGAGATCAACCTGGTCTTGACAGAGCGGTCAAGAGAGGAAGGGACATTGCCCACTGACCTCTGGAAGAGACCGGTCAGTGGTTTAATTAATCTTGGTTTTTCATGTAAAGAATTTTTGTTATTTATTTTTGTTGGAATTTTGAAAATGTTTAACAACAGCAATTCATATGTAAACTTGCACTTTTTTGCTAAGTAACATGACTTTCATTTATTACTAGACTTTCTTTGATTTATTTTATTGTAACAAAACAAAAACTCACTCAGGTGAGTGACTAGATCAGATATACAGCAGTATTTCTTTCAACAAAACATCAAACAAAATCCAAAATACCATTGTAAAATAAATATTATATCTACTTTATATGTCTTACAGGCAATGAAGGAAAGTTTCACCACATACAAGCCTCAGGTAGCAGAACACTTCGCCAAGACAGTGTTCTCCAACTTCAAGGAGACCACCGATGGCTTTGTGTTCCCCAAGGAGCATTTCAACCAGGCCTTGATCCAACTGGAGGGAGAGGTGCTGGCCAGAGAGAGGAGCAATTTTGAGAGGTAAAAGCCAAAGGTTGAATGCTTAGATGAACTTATCAGTCAAAAATCAATCTTGGTTTAGTCCCAAGAATCCAAAGGGGCTGTTTACTTGTGTTTTTCCCAGTTTCAGTATGTAAGCCCTGATATCAAAATTCCATTATTATTATTATTATTATTATTATTATTATTATTATTATTATTATTATTATTATTATTATATTCCAGCTACTCTATGTACTATGAAAACCTGCTGAGACAACACCACCAGTTACTGTACACCAAGGAACAGGAGATCAAACACTTGGAAGACGAGCTGAAGATGACCAGAGAAAGCATTCAGACAGAGGTTCAATGCCAGATGGCAGACCAAGGTCATGACCTCATTATGGGTAGGTTACCATCTTGGTTGTCATGGTTGCCATGTTGCTATGGTTACATATCATGAAAAACATCCTAAGCTGATATGCATAGGCAGCTTGGTCACAAATTACATGCAAAGCCTAATATAGATACCTTGGAATGTGTATTTAGCATTCCCCAATTTCCTTCATTAGCATTAATTAATGCTAGCTTCCTGTACTATACTATCCACATTCTCTTTATAAAGTGGGAGATACTGCACTCCTCATGTTTCATTGGTTCACAAAGTTAACATTAAAATTGTAGATATGAATATACATATTTACATATAGGCAGTCATAGACACTCTCATTATGTTTTATATCATATGCCATTCCTTCCACAGAAATCACTGCCCTGAGAGCGCAGTCCCGTGAACTAAGACAAACCATCATGGAGCAGGAGCGAGACATCAGGGAGAGAATACGGGAGGAGTATAATGAACTTGTACAGAACCTGTTTGCCTCCTGTTTTGACCTGAAAACCAAGTTTGATGAGTTCAGGTAAATGTGTGCCCTGACTTTCAGAAGTCCCTGGAAATTCACCTCTTTTGTCAATGGTAACTTCTCAACTTACTCTGAAATGAATTAATACAAATGTAAGTCAAACAAGGTGATTTTTACCTAGAAATTTACAGTCAGTAAGAATAGCATTGAAGTTTCTTTTAAAAAGATTAAATTCATATGAAGCATTGAAGTTTCCTTAAAAAAATAAAATTTATTTGATACAAATGTCTAACATGCATTACATGCCTTAAATGCTGTAAATTTGCTACTTTTGCCTTAAGATAATTTAAATGTAAATCTATGTTTTCAGGGAGGATCTATATGATGATGTATTTGAGAAGATAGGAGAAGCAAGGAATGAGGCAGTCATAGCCATCACTGACCTGAGAGGGCATGGAGGAGGTAAGTTTACACCCTGAGATCCATAGCTTTAAAAGCTGTGTAGGGCATATACATGTAGATTATTAACATTTTCTTTGTATTCGGACATGCAAGGTCTGTGGATTGATAGTTTGATGCCCACAAATTTTCAGAAATTTTTCTCTATATATTCAATTAGTGAATTGTATTTTCTAATGAGGTTTTTTATCCTGTTCTCAGTTTTGAGTGGTTAGTAAGAACAGGTAATAGAAAATTAGACAATTAAAGAAACTGTTTAATGGGATAAGGAAAGTGAAAAAGACATTTTTTAGGTTAGAGAATACTTTATTGATACCTATATAGAAATAGAGCAGATTATCATTGATGGAATGTTCTGCTTACAGGCGGGGATGCAAGAGAACATGGCCCTGGTGATAGTAAGTAATGTCCAGTAGGGTATCCTATAGGATGTTCAGTAGGAGATCCTATAGGATGTTCAGTAGGATATCCTATAGGATGTCCAGTAGGAGATCCTATAGGATGTTCAGCAGGAGATCCTGTAGGATGTTCAGTAGGAGATCCTATAGAATGTTCAGTAGGAGATCCTATCACTAGTGGGCTGGATTTGGTCTTAAAGTGCAATCTAAGTTCACAAGTGATCTTACACGATCTTAAACATTACAGCAGTAGTCTTAAAATGGCCTGAATCTGCTTTTAAGATCAAAAATGATCTAACATCTACTTAAGTGGTCAAGCAGTTTCCTCCCCTCACAATGGGGGATACCTCCCCTCACAATAGAAAACACCTCTGCTCACAATAGGAGAATGTGTAAGGGGAGACAACTTAATTGGCTGTTAGACCAGAAATAGTCTTACTCATGGTTTAAGATCATGTAAGACTATTTGTGAACTTAAATTGCACTTTAAGACCAAATCAAGCCCACTAGTGTATAGGATGTTCCCTATTGGTTCCAGCAGGATTTGATAGTACATTGTTTAGTCCTTAAATGATTGTGAGAAGAATGAAGTGAAGCTGCTGCTAGAATTAAATTATCAAATTTTTCTGATAAGATTTACATTATGCAAAATAAATGGAGACCTTCATTTGAAAAAATTGATTTGCATTATGTGTTACAGTATTACAGAGATGTAATTCATAAATTTGGTAAATAAAAACCAACCTGTTTGTAATTGACCCAAGATACTCTAAGTTCACTCTAAATTATTGTTGTTGATAACATTGATTTACTGTAAGTGTGTCTGTCTGTCTGTCTGTCTGTCTGTCTGTCTGTCTGTCTGTCTGCCTGCTAAACCTCCAATCAAATGCCACATTTCAGAAGATGACGCGATGCACAGGATCCTGGCCAAGAACCAGCAGATTCGCGACATCCAACGTGAGAACCACTCCCTGAAAGTTCTCATGCTGAAGATGAAGGCAATGAACAACTGGAGACAGACACATACCAGAGGGGTGTATGATAAGCAGGCAAGTATACACATACAAATATACACTTACATATACATGTACATGTATAAATGTGTATGTAAATGTATAAATGCACAATACATTTATGTGACATTTATGAATATATGCCCAGGCAGCTGGATTAAATTTTTAAAAATCTTTTTAAATAAAAACACAAACGTACAGGAGAAGAGAGAGAGAGAGAGAGAGAGAGATTATGGCTGATTTACGATTTCTTTACATATAAATTCTTTCCATAACAGCTCTCTTCAGAGAAGCAGCATGCAGATATGAGCAAGAAGGACTGCATCCAGATCCAACTGCTAGCCGAGGAAGATGTCATCCTTCTACGTCAACATCTGGTCCAGCTCCGCAAGGCATTCTCTGAGGTCTCCAAGGAGTGCGCTGATGCCAAGACTGAACTTCAGAAAGAGGTCAGTAGATTCTTTTAATATTATCAGACAGCCAACTCTTAAGGCCATGCAGTAATGGATTCAAAAATAGCCACCTTGATTTAAAGCTTTGTGTATTGTTTGCAATAAAGTGTTTTTTAAAACTATATTATTCCTGTTTCTAGAACATGTACAAAAAACTCAGGTATTATTTAGTTGTAATAAGAAGAGATAAATGATCATTATTGCCTTTGAATAATGAATTAAAAACATTACAGATAATATTCCCCTGGCTCAGATCGACTTATTGTCACGAATGACACTGTTGTTGTGAATAATGTTAATTTACTTACAATACCAGATGAGAAATTTGCTAAACTTTAACTTGCATCACTTAAACTACTGAAAATATTCATCATGGGTGTGAATATGAAAACTTGTTTTGAAATGCAACTGTTACATTAGTTTTCGGTAAGTACATATGTAGAATCAGTATCTTAATGAAATGAAGTTAAGGCCATAGCACCCTCTATTTTTTTCCTGATAATTTAGTTTAGAGTGAAGGTAAAATAGATGAACAATATAGTCTATATATAGTCTATAGCTAGTTACTAACTATATAGTAGTGCATGAAATGGCACACCACTCATAGATTTTTTAAAGCATTTTGCAACTCTCTTGTAGGTCACATGTTGCACTACACGTAAGGCATCACATGTTTAGATTTAAAAAAACTTCACAAGTTGAATGTGATTTATAATAATTTACAAATAAGTTCCCTATGTAAATATCATGGTTCCAGTCTGTAGATTTCATTTTGTCATTTAGAGGCAGTTAAAAAGCTTATTTTAATGTTTTTGTGATACTAGTTTTATTGTATTATTTTTCAACATTTTTTATTAATGAAGCAAGAATAATGAATAAAAATCTCTTTTCTGTCATGTATTATTCTAATAATCAATGTCTGAATCTAACAAATGCTTGATGATGGTATTAATGACAAAAGAGATTTACCAGATTTGTGTTTATTCTTTTGAAGTGCATATGATGTTTTTCAGTCTAGATGCATATTTAATCATTGTTCCAAGGGATTTTTTCCTTGCAAGCAACAAGCTTGAACAATGCAGGCAAGGCAAGACTTTCTGATGGTGTTCTATACTTTCTGTACTTTTTCATTTATATTATGTTTGTTTTCCCAGATGAAAGCTAAGGAAGAGAAGGCCCACGCTGCTATACAGAAGGCCAGAAGTCAAAAACAATTAGAGGCAGCAAGACAGGCTAATATTGAAAAACTGGTCAGTTTTTTTTTTTTTTTTGTTAATAGTTGAGAGATGTCAGCATATATGTGTGTGTGCATGCGTGCATGCTAGACTGTATGTGCGTATGAGGGGCGTGCACATGCATGAGTGCATGCAGCTTCATACACGCACATACACATGTAATCAGTATCTTACATTTTGCCTGTCCATCCATACATCTGATAGAATTGATCAGCATCCAGTTTCAAAATGTGCATAATAAAAAGTGTTCTGAAAAAGAGAAATTCAGAATTATCTGAAAATAGATTATCTACACAAGTAGAATAAACCAATTTTCTGTGTACATTACTATATTATAATAAATAGAGATGATAGAAAACTCCACAAACATCTATTATGAATAATGTATATATTTAATTTAATCAGGTGGACGAGCTGGATATGAAAGACAAGACATTAAACAGGATAGCCGAGGACTTTGACAAGACCACTAAGATGCAGGAGCTGACCAATGAGAAAGTGAAGAAAGACGCCATACAGTACAAGAAGCAGCTGACCCATGAAAGAAATCTAAAATTGGATGCCTTTCAAAGAGTGGACGAATTACAGACACAGGTGATTGATGAAAATTAATATGTTTATCTTTCTTATTATTTATTTATTTATTCGTTTATTTATTTATTTTATGGATATTGTTAGTAAACTCGATTCAAATATTTTGTTCTTTTAATATGAGCTAGTGAACTGATAAAAACTACTTTGAATAAAATATACAGTATAAAATAATGTTTCATTTATTGCAGATATATGACATTGAAAGTGGTTTGTTCAGTAGACCTCAGACCTCCATAGGATTGGTGCCCTCCACAGCATGTAAGTGGCTGTACTTGATAGTAAGGCATATTGGAGAACTAATTTTATAATATTTTACTACTACTACAGTAACTATAATAGTTGCAGTGTGGTAAAATGTCTAAAATAAGCACTGTACTTGGCAGATCATGTTTATTAATTTTCTGACCCCCTATCCACCACTACCACTCCCAAACATTGGGCATGGCATATATACCTACTTGACTCTATTAGAATGGACAGTGAGCGAACAATGTAGGGATTAGGTGGTTTCCAAGTGGTAATACATTGTAATCAAATGGTCTACTGATTCAGAAATAGTATGATGCAGAATGAAGCTGTTGCACTAACATTCATTTGGTGATAATTTATTTCTGTGATTCAGCAATGAGAAGTAAGTCAGTGGTAGGGTCATCCAGTAAAAGAAATGGAGCAGTCAGCAGAAGTATGGCATCGGTCAGTTCTAGTGGACTCTGGCCACCACCGGTCATCTGGCCACAAAACAGGTCACTGACACCTGAGGCCTTTCGCAATGAGAAACCTAATAACCTCAAGATACAAAGGCCCAAAACAGTAAGGATTTGTTACATTTTAATTTTTTTGTTATTTTTTTTTTAATTCCTGACTCTTGTAGTGAATAAAAAAAAAAGGAAATGTAACTTCTTTGCCAATTTAACTTTCATACTGATGACATATTTCTAATGCATAATTTCCAAAAACTTCCCCAACAAGCTTTCACAATTTTTAGTCGTTGTAAAAATCAGTTTTGAAACTTAAAAACTTTACTTCTGCATCTGCAGGTTGTTGGACGACTACGAAGTAAGATTGCAGAGCAGCTGTTAAATGAGCTAGACCCTGCAGACACCCATGAGACCATAGTGAGACTGGAACAGATGCAGAACACTGTGACACCCTGATCTCCCCCCTGACACAATGGACCTGTCCAATATTCCTTTCTGACACAATGGACCTGTCCAATATTCCTTTCTGACACAATGGACCTGTCCAATATTCCTTTCTGACACAATGGACCTGGCCAATATTCCTTTCTGACACAATGGACCTGTCCAATATTCCTTTCTGACACAATGGACCTGGCCAATATTCCTTTCTGACACAATGGACCTGTCCAATATTCCTTTCTGACACAATGGACCTGGCCAATATTCCTTTCTGACACAATGGACCTGGCCAATATTCCTTTCTGACACAATGGACCTGGCCAATATTCCTTTCTGACACAATGGACCTGGCCAATATTCCTTTCTGACACAATGGACCTGGCCAATATTCCTTTCTGACACAATGGACCTGGCCAATATTCCTTTCTGACACAATGGACCTGGCCAATATTCCTTTCTGACACAATGGACCTGGCCAATATTCCTTTCTGACACAATGGACCTGGCCAATATTCCTTTCTGACACAATGGACCTGGCCAATATTCCTTTCTGACACAATGGACCTGGCCAATATTCCTTTCTGACACAATGGACCTGGCCAATATTCCTTTCTGACACAATGGACCTGGCCAATATTCCTTTCTGACACAATGGACCTGGCCAATATTCCTTTCTGACACAATGGACCTGGCCAATATTCCTTTCTGACACAATGGACCTGGCCAATATTCCTTTCTGACACAATGGACCTGGCCAATATTCCTTTCTGACACAATGGACCTGGCCAATATTCCTTTCTGACACAATGGACCTGGCCAATATTCCTTTCTGACACAATGGACCTGGCCAATATTCCTTTCTGACACAATGGACCTGGCCAATAAACACGGTGGAGTGCTCCAAAGCAATATTAAACTGGATCTGTTTGAAAGGAACTTTCCTTTTAAATTAGTATTATTCCATAAGATCCAAGGAAATTATTTGGACTTTGACTAAGGGGGTTCATTCTTGGTAGGAAATCTACTATTGATATAGATTTTTTATTCTTTATTCTTGATGCTTAATCTCAACTTTATCTAGTATTCCGTCCATTTAAAACAATCTAAACTGTGGTGTAGGTAAACTGGAATTGCATGTACATGTTTATCTGTGATAAAACAAAGACAATCAGTTAAAAGATTAGTACAATCTATTTGCAATACGTATCACAAGTAGTCGTTTTATTTATTTCCATTTTTATAGGGAAAGGGCATCTTTTTTTTCGTGAAAAGACTTACATATGTAAGTAATGTAATGTAAATAGCTTATGCAATCATCAATAGAAGGCGAATTCTATGTGTACCTAAGTCGTGTAAATAACATAATATTTAAGCTTATGAGTTTTTTCTTTCTGTTATAATTATTGTTTTTTATCTGTGCCAATTTTAGTCATGTCATTCTCAGACTGGCAAAATAATGTCCAACATCTAAATTATTTTCTTCATAAATGGACAAAGTATCCTAATCAGACTATGGACATTTCTTGTCACCAGTTATCCATGTGTTATATTTTATGTGGCCTACACTGCTGAATTTAGAAGTGAAGCATTTTTTATTTTATTTTTATATAGAAATATGATCCAAGAAACTTTCTTAAGAATACATATGGTATTTGATGTTCAAGGAAGAGGCAATTGATCCAACATATTTGCTGATCTGTGCTGTTCCGATCATTTCTTGTCACTTTTTGTAGATTTGATATAAAAATTGATTTAACATAGATATTTTTAATGTCAATCACATATTATATAAATAAAACGAGCTTGTATGCAAAATATCGTGTTTTCATTCTATAAAACATTTATTACTATATTAAAGTATCTGTTTGTACAATAGTATATGAATACTTCAAAAATTCTTACAACAGCAGTAGAATATTGAGCAATAGTGTCCAAATGACAAAAAGTATACGAAATGTTTTAATTCAAAGGGATCGTATCAATTATAAATCCCTCTAAAACTGTAAAAGCATGGCACCACTTCTGATGACAAATAATTTTTTAAATAAGTTATCAGAGCATGATTTTACAATTTTTTATGAAAAAAAAACATCTTGGTTAAATCTTGAGTTTTCTTGTAATAAATATTCTTAACAAATTCAACTGGTTATGTCTGCTCAACTGTGAACTATACAACTGAGAGATGAACGATTTCCATGCAAATATTATAAGATATGCCCTTCATACACATGGGATATCTCCATTGGTGTTGCAGCTTGAGTATATTTTCCAAAATGTGCAAATGGTCTTGAAATACCTCCAAATATGGTTAAAGTCACCATTATTGCATGTCCATATATGGTCAAGTCAGTTAAAATATGTCCTTATGTGGTGAAGAACCCACCATCAGGTTTCCTAGAATATCCTATATTTGTTGTTTGTGTGTGATTTCCATCAATTGCATTTTTGACACTATGAATACTTTCCTTCTTGGTCCATTCAGCAATTTCAAGAGGGTGGTTAAGCGGCTTGGGCTCCACTTTGATAACTTTGACTCTGTTTTTCAGGACTCTCCTGCAAAGAAAGATAATGATATGGTTATGAAATGCAGGAATCTAAGGATAATATAACCAATTAAATACATTATATAATGTATTACTACATGATATGGCTATTTTATATGCTCAGAATCTTTAAAGTACAACCAAGGTTTCTGAGTCAAGGTGAGCCATCTTCTTCATTTTAAAATTTCCATTCATGCTCACTGAAATTCAGCAGCATTTGATTGGAGTTTACCAAACTCATCATAAATGCTAGATAGGCCTGCCTATTAACTACTTTACATGTGCTTCTGTGAAATCATGAAATCCAGAAAACTACATGTGCATTTGCAATCATCTTTATAAGCTTCAGTAAGACTTGCCACTGACTTCCAGTCTGATAAGTACGTAAATATGGAGGTTTGAAAAATGAAGAAGATCTGGCATGTATTGGATGTGAACCTCAGGGTGTCCTAGAATCAACAATTTGTGAAACAGAATATTCACAGACTTATACTGTTTTGGTAACAGACTGTCTCTTTAATAAATTATTAGTCTGCAAAAAAAAAAAGAAAAAAAAACTTTTCAAACCTACTGCAAGCAAGTCCACGATAATTTGTTGATCCACCTAAGATCAATTTGACTGCCATTTGGCAAGGGCCAAGTGCATTTGACACACAGTGCATAAATAAACACATCTTACCCATGCTCCATTCCTATTGTCTCAGGTTGAAAAAGGGTATGGTTTCTGTTTTTAAACAGTTCATCGTGGTGATTGTACTGGGACTTCAAGATGAAGTCAAGACTGTCCACAGGGGCCAGGGGGTCGTAGTAGTACACCTCTCTCCTGGCACTGGTCAGGGTAGCCGTGCTGTTGAGTCTTCTCCATGGGTCAAATGTCTGGGCAAGATGTGTGGGAAGTGTGTAAGGAAGTTTCTGAAAAGGTGTAAAGCATATATATGAAAATATACGTGTAATTGAATTTATCACGCTTCAAATGCTATTTTAATTTTAATCATAATACCCCAATTATTAGAAATTATGCTCGTAGAATTTTAATTAAAATTATTGAAAATAAAAAAAATCTAACTTTGAGCCCTGTCACTTTAACGCAGTTCATTCATATAATTTTAAAAAATTTAAAGTTCTCACAAACTTTTCAATAAAAGTGATTTTTGCTATTTAAAAACTTACCAAAGAAGATCTTTGTCCAACAAACTGATCGTCATTTTCAAATCTTGGGAAAGGGTAACAGTCTCTTGTGTATGGCATATTTGGTTTTAGCTGCGGCTGCAAAAACGCGTCTTCTGCACCGGCTTGGTAGGCTACAAATGCCAAAACAAACTCCACGCTTCAGCTCGAAGTGTTGAATGGGCTCTATGGCAACCACCGATGCATCATGGGAGTTTGATGTTGAAAATTATATAGTTCTTTATAAAAATTAGTTTGTATATCTGGGACTGAATATTCATGATTTAGAATAACGATTTGCATTTAATAATATACATGTAACTGTACTTACAACATTTCTTAATATCCCTGTTTTACGAGATAATAACTTCCGGTAGAAATATCTGCGCATGCTTCGGGTTAGAAAAGGTTGTGAGAGAAAACATCGTCGAAGGCCTAGCTGGCCAAACGTGAAGCAGTAAAACGGCGGCTTTAAAAATATTCCAGCTTATTGGAACAAAAATTATTTAGAGGGTTAGTCATTGTATCTCTAGTGGATATAAGTGCAATAATTAGTGTAGGATATGGGGCTCTCATGTATATTTTTTACGGCGCTGCTTTTGACTGTGTTTTGGAGCGTCCATGCAGACGAATTGCCAACCTGTCAGGCGGTAAGTGTTATTATTATTATTATTTTTTCTTTGTTCATTTTTCTTTGTCTGCTATCTTGTCTTGTCAGAAGTCAGTGATAACATTTACAGAAAAAAAGCCTGCAAATGGACATTTTTTGGCGAGAGTGGCTTTTAACCTTTTTTATGTCATTTTTTATTAAATATCACTGTCAGTCACTAATATGAATATAATTTATTTTTGTGATGTAATTTTTAAGGTAATTTATCTAGACGGTTGTCTGAACAGTAAATGGATAGTGTAACCTATTTTATTGGTACAGTTAGAAATACTGTCAACAACAGCAGCTGCAGTAGATTATTACGGCTGTGTCAACAGCTCTCTTCTGATAAGAAAACATGTTTGTCAATTTATTTATCAAACAATCCAGAGAAAAAAATGGAACTAAGCACATAGATTGGTTTAAACAGCTTTTTCACCTGGCCTAAAACTTCAGTGCTTCATACAAAGGACCCTCATCTCCTTGTCATTTAGTAATGCTAGCAACATGTACCAGTATAATTTATATGGAATTACTCCTTTGTTATATGGCTTCATATACTGTGAAATATAAAAGACATCATGGGAAAGCTGAAATGATTAAAAAATGAAACATTTCCCAGGTTTTTTTTTTTAATTTGAGTATACTCTTACGTATATCTTATTGTTGTGATTTTTGATCATTTTTCCTCTGAAATATCATATGAAGAATATACACGTAAGTTGAAAGCATATGGCTGGTTTTTCTGTTGTGTAGAATTTTATCTTCCTCTGTACATGACTTAAGTCTGGCTAGTTGGGGAGGGGGGTGTTTTAGTGTTACTGGTACGTCTTTCTGGTGGTCTTAGATATTGATAGCAAGTCTAGGATCCTATTACGCAGCTTTCTCCCACATACACACAAAAATGGTACATATAATAATGATTGACTGAAACAGTATGATAAATTTACCTTATATAAGGTAGTAAATTATAGCTGCATAGTTGTTTATTAGGACTGTGCTATCCTTTTTATTACAAACACTAGTTTCTGTTCTGGTATCAAGTCTACATTCAGCAAATCATAAAAGACTAGAAATTATTATTTTACTGTACAGTCATTTTCATGTGATTCTGTGAATGAAATCATCTATAAATTATAACTGCGTAGTTGATCCCTTTTGATACCAGTATCAACTAGGATCCATACTTTAGTCATAAATATGTTCACCATGTTATTAAGCATGTGGTTGGCAGACAATATGAAGGACTATTGATTTTTTAGCTGGCTTTACCCACATTCAGTGCGTATTTTACCATAGACAAGTGCATAAATGTGCAAATTAGTCATGCAAGTTTGTTGGGAACTAAAACCAAATAAAGATAATGGATGGTTGATTAAGGTAATGTGCAGCTGACATATATTATATCATTATGGTTGGTGGTAGACCTTCGTGAAAGTCTGCTTCATTTATATGTTGTAGGTGAAGCAATGGCTTAGGGAACCTGTTGCCTTTAGTTTTTCAGAAATAAATGCAGGCTGTAAAACTGAAATAATTGTCTATGATAATAGTTGATCAAATCGAAACAAGTATTTGCTGGCTGGCATATACAAGATATTCTTTCCTCTTTTTTTTTATGTTACGTAAGATGATCACTGCCGAGTTGTGCTGACAAAGAAAACTGTTCACGAGTCTGTGTTTTGATTCCAAAACTCTGAATATTTCATCACTATCTGTTAATGAAAAGATAGCATAAACAACAAATAATTTTTTTTTTTTTTTGGGCAAAATTTTTGTTAATCACTGTGTAAAAAAGAGAAATATTATTATTTTAATTAAATATTGAATGGTAAATGCCAATTTGAGGATGCAGTGTTTTAACTACAAGATTCTGAATCTTTATAATTTCATTGACATCTTTACACTATACATTAAAAATAACATTTACATTGCTTCATAATCTCAGGTCTTGTATCTGAAAATTAGTCATTGTACCGGCAACAACCTTTTATTAATGGTTTTGAAATATTAACTTTTTAAGTATTCAGTTGCATATTTCATCAAAGTTTCTTTTTTTTCCTTGCAGAAAGACTTCCATTATGAATATACAGAATGTGACAGTAATGGTGGCAGATGGCGAGTATCTGTGCCAGTCCCTAACACGTGTGTAGATGGTGCTCCTAACCCACCTGTTAGGGGAAAGAGTTGTGGTAAGTATCTCTCTCTCTCTCTCTCTCTCTCTCACACACACACACACACACACACACACACACACACACACACACACACACACACACACACAGGTAGCTACAAACAAGCTTGAATAAGATTGTTAGAATATTTTCTTTACTTGACATGATTTGTTCTTTGGAAGATATATACTGGAAGATGTTGTGTGGCTGACACCCCTTTCTCTTGTACTCATATATACTTCTACACGTCATGCATGCACACGTACGTGCACAAACACACATACACTTTGAACAGCATTGCACAGTACTGATAACATATACCAATCCCACAAACAAAGCATGCTGCATGTCTGATTAAGTTGCCTTTTATCATGAACTTTTAGATAGAAACCATGTACTAAATCATCACAAAACTATGAAAAAAAAAATTATATTTTATCACAAAATAGACTACCACAGACCCGTGAATCAAAAGGAGATTTAACTGGGGCCAGGATATCTGTTTTGTGAATCCAATGTTTTAAATTAAAAAGAAAAATGAAATTATTAAATTCAAAAATAATGATATATTTCTGATCAATACAGGTGATTGAAAGGGTAATGTACTGTAATACACCACAAGAGCATGATTTGTCTGTAATATAAGATGTATCCTGGTTTTACCATAGAGGATGTAGACAACAATGTACCCAGACTTGGTGCATCTTGAGTTCATGTGGGACATGGGTGCGTGCAATATACATTATTGTTGGGTCTTTTGTTCTCAACACCCACCCTGGTATAAAAAAAAAGTTGCGCTCCTTTATTGGATTTTTTTTCTTCCCCTATGATTGATTAATTGTTTGAATACCTATTCCGAAAGAAAAGAGCTGTTTAGAAATAAGGTTTCACAAGATAAATTGTTCCATAGCCATTCTGAAAGAAAAGAGCTGCTTAGAAGTAAGGTTCCACAAATCTTTACCAGCATTTTCAAATGATCATTGTCAAAGCTGTGTTGAAATCAGACTTCGTGGAGAGACATTTAACATTAAACAGGCAGCTAGGTGTACTATTGGAACTTTGCATGTCACATTAAACACTCTGCATAGCACATGTGTTCTTCTTTGTTGACACAATCTGTATACCACAGATTTTAATATCAATACAAATAATTCTTCTTGGCAAAATTAATTTATTCTCTGGCTTCTTGAATGTTATCTACTTCGAACCTTAGAGTCAGAGGAATGTGGAATTATAAAGTCAACATTCTCTAAACTGATTTCACTATATTGTTAATTTTGGCTGATTTGGCTAAAGGCAGGGACGTTAGAATGTAGGCACAAACTACCATATTTTCACAGAATGCCTTCAAGATAATAAAATTCACAATAATCATATGTTTGCATTTGCATCCTGAACTTTGCGTAAAATACTACTATTCCTAGTATATATATTTGGCCAACAGATTACACAAATTTAAGAGAGCAGCCTATAAGGCTACAGTAGTCTGGTATATGTACTGTTTGATCTATATTAAATACAGGATAACATGTTTAAATAGAGGATGATTTTGTGGGTAACCTGATGTGTGTGTTTGGAGATATATTATCATCCACTTTCAATTCAACAAAAAGTCATGAAATACTTCTCATGTTACACCTAAGCAAGCGTGATGTTCGGTATCTTTGGCCTGACTGCCGCGCTAATATCAACTTCTTGCCAGTAGCCTAAAATCATAATGGCCAAAGAATTCTTTGCTATGTGTAAAACTATATTTATAAGCTTTAGTCACATCTCATTTCCTTCAGGCATCTACCCCTTCCCCCCCCCCCCCTTGACTGAATAGCCTTGGCAAGTTGGCACTGAAGCTTCTTATTCTTTTCACCTAGAACTAAACAAAATATAGTCACTGTATGTCATCTTTGACAGCATGACCACTGTAATTTTTTCTACACACCTTACTTTTACTAGTAGTCAACAATAGAATCCCATAATTGCAATGGTATATAATATACAGTTGTGTTTTCTGAATGCTACTCTCCTGTCAGTTATATCAATGTCATTTTACAGATGAGAGATCACTGGTGAAAGTGTAGTCACTGTGTTTATGGTGTGCTAAGCATTATTGTTCATTTTGTTGATGATTGTCGGAGAGTCCAAAGCAAGTGTGAAGTGCCATATGTTAGACAGTTCTGATCCAACGGCATTACTCTTTTTATCTTTAACACATTTATTAGTTTATGGGAATTATCAGGCTCGTAGCCAATAATTTCAGAGGGAGGGTTCGTTTTCTGAAAAAGTGGACCTTTTACCATAAAATCCTCAAGTACATAGGTCAAATTTTACCTAGAGTGGACCTTTTCCCAAGGGTGGTTCTTTTGACCCCCCCCCCCCGAACCCCCCTGGCTACGGGCCTGATTATAATTAGTGTACATATGTGGAGATGGTAAATTGGCATTACTCTCTTCCATCACCATTATGAAGTATTGTAGTCTAAAATTCATGTTATTCAATATACTTTACAACATGTATTAATAAGATTATAAATTATTACATTTAGAAAGAAAGGATGAAGAAATTTGCTAAATGAAAATTTCATACATAAGAATTAATTAAGTTATTGCAGCAAAACATACCCTGTCTGTTTATGTATGTTTTTACTTTGTCACAGCCAGACACATGAAGTCTTGGGGTTTCTAATGAATTACAACTGTCAGAAAACATAGTTGTAGCTATTTCATTCTTGCAGCCCCACAACAATTTTTAGGGTATCTTAGTATAAATTGTTGTAGGCTTTCACAAAGTTTACTATTGTGAAGAGAGGTAATGCTATAGTTCTTAAAGTTCATAATATTTCCCAGTTTTTGTTGTAGACAAAGATTTTCACGAAGTGTAAAGAAAAATAAAGAGTAACCAATTATTCATTTTCACTAAATTGAATGTTATACGTCTTTCGATTTTTTTGTTTTGTTCTCAAGACATCCTTTTTCATTTAAAACATTTTATGACATTATACTGACATTTTTGTGACAAATATTTGCAGAAATGATTACATTGGTTCTAAATATAAATATAAATGGTATGTAGGCTTAAAACCACCAACTGGTTTTAAAGGTAAAACTAAATAAAACAAGGAAAAGTTTCATTTGCATGTGAAAAGTTCATCAATTTTGCCATCATTGTAGAAACCCATGTAGCTCCATTTGGCAGTTTCATGCTACATGAGGGATATAATCATTATAATCAGTTATGATTGATAGTATGAAAAATGGCATTACTTCAATTGAATTTTAGAACTGAGCATGAATAATTACAATAATCTATCTTGCACCTGCTGCTATTCTGTCCACAATATGAAATATGAGTTTTATTAAGTCCTCAAGTAATAATTACCCATGTCTATACAATATTCTGAACTTTTGCTTTAGTGTTATGCTTAAACACCAAATTCCCCTTGCTTGTGTAAAATATTGATTGATTGAAAATAAGTGAGTGCAGTTTTTATTTGATATTTAATACTGACAAGCTGGGGTCGATTTGACATACTAGTATAACATACTAGATTAAATGAAAAACTAGTTGAGAGAGACAAATTTCCACTGCACTTACAGCCCAGTTAGACACATACTAGTATACTTGTAATGGTAAAACAAGCTTGAGCATTATAGTCCTATAATGAAACCTGCAATGGAAATGGTCACAGTTTGCAAAATGTTAGAACATTAAGAAGATAAATTTTGTGATATACAAGAGCTGCTTGGCTATACCACAGGTGATAAAAATAAAATGATCTTGTGGTTATCTGTGTCAGTGGCCCTTTGTAAATGGCCTTACAGTAAGTAGAACTGCAAAATTTATAGTAGACTGTGTGCCTGTCTTCATGTTTTAGACAAGGGTAACAAGTACTCCCAGTTCTGACAGAATACATCATCATCATTCAGGGGCGGATTTAGGCCGTCTTCTGGGTCTTCTGGAAGACGGTCAGATTTTCAAGTTTACATTAACGGATATCTATTTTTTCTGTCGGAAGACGGTCAGAAATGGAGGATGGATCAATAAAGATAATTTGGAAGACTGTCAGAAAATGTAACTGGATCCGCCCCTGTCATTGGCATACTATTGTCAGTTCATGAGTTTTGTTTCAATATAGTGAAAAATCTTGTACTGGTTCACATGTTCATATTAACATTTCATAGTTAGCCATACAGTGCAGCTGTTGCTCTGAAATCCAACAGGATGCTGTCATTATTGGCATGTGAGTGCCTGATCTTTGTTCTTGGTTTAAATCAGCATGCTTGTCTCCAATTTACAGACTTCACCTGTGAAGCTGGCCAGTACTTGGAGATTCAGGGGGACCAAGAATGCCACAAATGCCCAGCTGGGACCTTCTCCCTGGGGGGTGGGGTTCGCTTTGAAGAATGGCAGGGCATACCCAAGGGATTTGCTGTGGAGACTGAGGGATTCCAAGGACCAGATATCCTGTCTTCGACTACTGAACATAATAACTGTAGCAAGTGAGTGTGGCAGATATTACATGTCAAAAGGAACTTTATTTGAAATTGGATGTATACATTTGAATGGGCAAGAAATCATAACCAGGTTTAGGCTAGAATGTTCTAGGGAGCTTTGCCTCTCAACAAAGACTGCTTTCACATGGGAATACTTGGGACCTAGAACAGCTCTAAATATTTTGAGCATGGGGTCATTTTCTGATGATGTGTATTTTTAAACAGCATGTTTTTATAAGATGTTCCATGTCACAGTAAAGACCTCATTTTTCAAAAGAGAACCAAATCATGGGTTACAGAAATGTTAATTTGTTACACAACAGCAAATGACATAGAAATATATGAGATGTATATGTCTTATGACTTAATTTATTTACCATTTCACAGCTCTGGGTGGGTTGCCAAAGGTGCCTACCTGTCGGCCAATGCTGAGGACAGATGTTACACCAAGCTGATTTATACCACTGACTTGGTCCGTGCAGGATACCTCCGCTTTGAGTATCAGTTCAGGGATGAGACTAATCAGCTTTTTCACATCAATGTAAGTTGGACTTGACTGGTTTATGGGGTTTCTGTTGGCAGAAGTTTCTAGTCCTTAAGCACTGAAAATGTTTCTAACACTAAGTGAAAAAAAAAGAAAAAAAAGCTGTGCAATTGTTCACATATTCTTCAACCAGAACGTGGTCTTTGGCTAAAATTTTGCATACCAGAGTAAGCCTAGTAAATGAAGTGTTTATTGTAGGTGTAGAAAATATTGTATGTGAAAACCAACAACATAACCAATATAACTGTTACATTTGTTTTCTTCTTCCTTCTCTTGTTTAGGTACAGAACAGTCAGTGTGCTACATCAACCAGAGGAGGCAACCTCTGGCTAACTGGTACAGAGGAAGGAGAGTGGAAACGCAAACACGTAGGTGTAGAAAATATTGTTATAACAGACAACATAATACAACATAATACTATGATTTAGTCATCATCATGATTATAGTTACATTTACTTGCTATGCCACATCCCAACACGTTCCAGCAAACATTTTGTCTTTGGAACCAGGTTGCTTTCATCTTGCATATGTTCAAGTGTTATATTGGTTCTTCATTCAGAGAAATCAATAATGAGAGAGTGATTTATAACCGTGTCTAACAATGATAATTTACAAAAACTTATTGTAAATACTTTCTTCTATTATAATTCAGGGAAAACCATTCATTTTGATGAGGTTTTCTGTTACATTTGAATCTTTTTGGTGAAAATTGGATCATTCTAGATAAATTTGAAGCAAGGCCCCAACACACTGGTATGGAAAGTGATGGCGTTCAACACAGGTCAGACCAAGCATAGCTTCAAACCTGTCCTGATTAGAAATGTGGAGATAAGTGGTGAGTTGAAGACATTGGGGTATGATCAGGCTGAGTGGAGACAGTTTGTTCATAAATCCCTTAGTTCTAATTAGCAAATTGAGTGTACCCAAATGTTATGAATATCAGAGATGATGTAATTTTTTCTAAACTTCCTAGCAGATGTGTGCAGGAAGTTCTGCTAGATTAATATAAACTTACACTAATATGTTTTGTTGACCTTATAATTCAAATGATGCTGCAATCAGTTTAGAGACATATAGAAAGCCAAAATGTCATGGCAAAATTGTTTTATATATATTTTACCTTTTATTATATTTCCAGGTGTTGCTTACACATCAGAGTGTACAAAATGTCGCAATGGCACACACAGTGATGAGGGCGCCAACATTTGCTCCTTGTGCAAAGAGAATACATACTCCCTTCATGGCGCTGCTAGCTGCACACCCTGTGACCAACTTACAGAATATTCAGGTATGTTGTTGAACATTGGTAATGAAGCTTTTGAGTTGAAAGAAACCTTCCAGGAGAAAAAGTGCAGAATTAACAAGAAGTGAACAGGTGGGTTTTGCAGTGTGTAATGTAAACTAGAGATCTACCTGTGAGTCTAAAACCTAGGTTCACGCTCTTCTCTGCTCTGTATCATCACAAGTAAAGAGCAGGACAGGCTTGTATTCTTTCTTTCAGTAGTGAGTAAGATTAATATATCCAACTTGCAGAAACAGTTCCGAGTCTTCAAAATTTACATACAGTGTTTATTTGTATTTTTTTTCTGAAATGCTCTATTTTCATTATTATAACAGAGGCTGGAGCCACCAAGTGTCTGCCCCGTCCTGCATGCAAGGAAAGTGATTACTTTGAATACTTCTTGACATGTGATAAAAATGGACAGGTGAGACAGGTGTTAATCTGGGTGCAGATTGGTCACTGAAGGGCCACTGTGTTTTGTTATTGTCATAGTTATAAGTTAACATAAACAAATACTTCAGGTTATTTTTTGCAAATTATTCTTTTTATGAGATGTGTGAAGTATTTTGCCTTTTAATTTTTTCATTTTATTGTTATTTTTCAATCAATTCTCAGAACACTACAGTTAATTTTTGTTGATAAGACATGATAAAATCCTCTGTAAGTTTAACTCAAGGTTTCATTTGATGCCAGGATTAACACATTTTCCTGACTGAAACTCTTTCAGACTCAGAAATTGTACAAATGGATTGAGCCTCAGATCTGCCGAACTGACGTCCCAGGAGCCATACAACTACCGCCATCTGGTGAGAAGAAGCCTTGTCCACCATGTAACCCTGGCATGCAGCGTGTGGATAACTCCCCAAACTGTACCTTCTGTCCTGCCAATACAGTCTCTGACGGCAGCAAGCCATGTGCTCCGTGCCCTGTGTCAACTGCAGCCAAGTACGAGATTAATTATCACTGGTGGAACGATCTGCCACAGAATATGACCACCAGTTGCGCTCGGGATGATGGTACGTTGCAAGTGTTTGTTTGAGTGCACGTGCGTGCCTGTCTGAGTAGGGGTGTTTGATTTTGTGAACGTGTCTTTTCCAGACATTTGCCTGTATATGTATTTGAATATCTATGTTAATAACAAATTCTGATTCTGCTTTACTTCTCCAAAGAAAATCTGAAGCAGTCAGACAATATGGCATGGCAAGGACATCATGATAGCTTTCTCTGTGGGATTTTAAAATTGAAAATGATTTGAGACATTTCTACATGTAAATCTTCAACTATTGTGACTTTTTCTACATCATTGAACATCATCGTTATTATATCTGAAGATTAATCAGCAGAATTGAGGTAAAAGAAAAACACTTGAAATATTTCAGACGAATTTTGCCTTCAGCGTATGGGCTGGCAACCACTGGGGGATCACCTTAGCAGTGGCAAGGGGCACCAGCCTGAAGACTACCTGGTTGTCATGTTGAGGCTGGGAGGGGTGCAGGGGGAAGCTCAGATGATTGGAGGGAAAGCAAAGACACTCTCCACTGTCAGTTTTGTGTTCGACCTGAATTGTGACCAGGAGAAAAAGGCATCGCATCCCTGTATCTTTTATTTTACTACAGTAAGTGAATTTGATTTTTTTAGATTGTAGTTAATTTTTTTTTTTTTTGTAAAAGGCCATGTTTTTATTGTCATGTATGGTCTTGAACATTTTTTTTTTTTTTTCCACTTTATGCAATTGTAAATATCTCTTATTAAATCTTTTTTCTCCTTATATATAATGTCCCTGTATTTTACACCTGTAACTTTGCTACCCAGAAAGAGTAATGGAAATTTGGTTATTTATTTATTTATATTATTAGAGAAAATATTTATTTATAATCTGTTTATATTATTTCACATTCTTCATTGCAGTGTCAGCTTATTTTAACTTTCATATTTATCAGCCAAGTGTTGATTATTCAAATTGGCAAGTTATTTTTCAGGAATCCGAGAGCATAGGCATGAATGTGGTCAAATTTTGGAGTGGACACCAAGAAAAGCAGGAATTTAGGTAGGCGCAGTAATAAGTGATGCTTTTCTCATTTCTCTAATGTTTCCAATTTTTTTTTTATTGTTGTAGATACAATTCATAATCATGACTTGTGGCTCTGGTATATTTAGAAGGACAGTTATACACAGATTGTTCATGTCTGCCTAATAAACATGCACGTAACTATGGGTTGTTGAAATCGGAAGGTTGCATTTTTCTTGTAAAAAAAAAAATAGAATGTTTGTGATTTCAAAGATTGGATGTCTGTAATAATTACTATAAAACAGATTTGAATGAGTTGTAGAGCATTTCCTTTCGTTATAATTTACTTTTACAGTTGTGAAATTTGATGTACCAGAGAGGGCTATGTATGTAGTTAAAAGTGTGCTATTTTTACACATATCCCACTAGTTGACATTATTTTGTCTTTTGACAGTTTTCCAATCACACAGAATGAGGAAATGGTGTTCTCATGGGCTTTCCAAGGTGCCACAGTGAATGAAGAGGCAAGAATCTATTCCATCAAGATCACAAACACCATAGAAGGCGGGGCTTCTGTCTGCGAGGATTGTCCAATGGGAACACAGAAAGATGGGTAAGTTGTCAGTCACTTTATGGGGTGGGGCAACTGTCACTTTTGAGTGGTGCTGTTCAAGGGGGAGGATGAAAGATTTGTAAAGAGTCAGTTATTCTGTAGGGTGGGGCAAATGTATCTGTGTGAGCATTTGATAAAAAGTTTAAAGAAAGCTTTCTGTAGGGATGATTTCATTAGTTAGTAGGTATCACATGCAGTAGTCTGTGGTTGCAGTCCTGAGGTCTATTTTACAGGTGAACTTAAGAATGAAAGTGAGTCTTAACTTTTAGATGAATGCAAAATTGTTGTCAATTTTGACCAAAGATAAATCATCATTAGTAGTCCAGTTGTATGAAAGATTCTATACGTTTTACTACAAGAAGGACAAAGATACTGCTTCAGATCAATTACTCCATTCCAGTGGACTTGGGCTTTTGATCTTGAATAAAAGTAGACCAAAATTTAGGTCTTGAGTGCAAAAGCCAATTCTCAGTCTAAAATTATTATCTTTGTGCACTAATTGTCATATCTTCTATCCACAGCTGTGTTCCATGTCCTGAGGGTCACTACATTGACCGCAACTCGTCCACTTGTGTCCAATGTCCAGAAAACACCATTATCACCAGTAACAGAGCCTACGGCATAGAGTCTTGCATTCCGTGTGGTAAGGGGCTGGTGTCGAAGGACCGCAAGACTTGCTCCAGTGACTGCCACTTCAAAGACAAGGCTGGACATGAATATGATTTTACTAGTCTCAGGGGGTAGGCGAATGTGAAGTAGCACGGCCAATACATAATAATGATCCTTGTTTGGTGAAGTAAACATTTTGTGATAAACGTCAATACTTATCAAAAGTAATAAAATAATACATTAAAGAGGAATGTAAATAGAATTTATGTTCAAATCTCATGTCTTTTCCTATGGGAGATAATTTTGGAAAAAAAATTATCGATGCCCTATTAATGAGTTGCAAAATTTGAAACCTTTATAATTAAAATATCTGTGCAAGTCTCTAATTTAAAAGTAAGCTTTTGTATTCATACCATGTAGTTGCAATGTGAAAATCTGTACCCTATTAATATGTTATTCTGTTTGTATTGAATGCCCTTTGATTCATACCCAAGGCCATCCCTACATTTTATTATAATGGCTATGTGAGAACATTTGCCAGTACCAGCTGGTTTCTAAGTTTGTATATCTCACTGTGTTCAGGTTCCACACTACAGCGGGCAGCACCCTGTTCACGTCCAGTGGCACCCAGTACTACCACCACTTTAACTTCACTATCTGTGGTACCACTGTGGAGGAGACCACTGTGCAGTGTCCTAATAATGTCTCCACTGTCAGGGTAGGTCTGTGTGTGTGTGTGTGTGTGTGTGTGTGTGTGTGTGTGTGTGTGTGTGTGTGTGTGTGTGTGTGTGTGCGCGCGCGCGCGCATGGGCATAAGTGGGAGTAATACATGTGGCAGATAGTATGGCCTGTCTAAAAGTGTATGTCTATGTTTGTGAATGTTTGTGTTTGTGAAAGAGGCACAGGCATATACAGATTCAGGTCATGAAGACAACTGAAGACATGAAGACAAATCAATATAATTGTACTTAAAAAAACTTTTTAGTAGTAACTTTTTCTCATTTACAAAATAAACCAGTATTAATAAAAAAATCCCAGGTGCTTTATATGATAACATAACTGTGCACTTGCAGGCCTTATTGGAGCAAGATTATGCCTCAACTCACTTGGATAATGCTACTAACAATGCCACTACCACTACCACACCTTCACCTGATACTATAATGAAAAGAAGGGCTGCATTTGAATTTGACCAAGGAGTATGTTTATAGTAATGGTGTTGGGTCTTGGGGGTCTGGTGGACTTGATGTCAGGGATAGAGGGTTTTAACATATTAAGGTCTTTTGGTTTGGTGGAGTTGATCTGAGGCATCAAGTTGATGATTTGGTTTTAAAATTTGGTGCCCTGAATATAATATAATAGCAATCCTAGTCATTTTTAACTTTTCCAGCCTATTTTTTATTTTCTCTTTTTCTGTTGCATCTGGTTTTCCTGTTTTATCCATCCTTTCCTCTTTTATTTTGAATGCATGTTTGTTTGTAGGGAGAGCAACTGTTGGGGCTGGTGAAAAAAGATATGACTTTCATTTTGAAGGTAGTCAGATAACCAGTAGTTAGATAGGAGCATTACCAGAATGCTTTTGTAGGATTTTCATTGTACTGCTTGTTGAGATGGTCTTTATGGTAATTACTCTTAAGATTTTAAGCGGTTTTTTTTTTTTTTTTTTTTTTTTTTTTTTTTTTTTTTTTTTTTTTTTTTTTTTTTTTTTTTTTTTTTTTTGCAACATTCACCTTAACAGTTACATTTAGTTTTTCCCCAAAGCATATTTAACTTCTTTGTGTTCACATATTATGTAAAAGTCTTTTGAAAATTCATTATGGCTCAAATTAAGGGAGTAATTACCATAGCTAGCGGAGGGAAATGAATACATCTGCTTTTGCTCTGAAAAATATTAACTAGTAGCATCCATGGAAATTCATTTCTTTGTACATAGCTGTTTTTGCTGGCTAGATTTGTGGCTAAATTAGTGCTATTTTGAGATAAATAGGGCAAAACATTAGCAAGAAGCTTTTTTTTACATCTGACAACATATGATTGATGATGTCAGATAAAATTTGCAGATGCTTAAAAACTATAATCATGGCTATATTTTGATTGATGTCATCATAAAATTATTTGTAGGATGCCAGTGAATGCAGTGCCTTTACTAGGGGGCCCTGATTTGGCCAGTGTTTGCTTCATAAAACTTACCTGCTTTCTCTAAGCAGATAATTGTATAGAGGTTTATTGTTACATTGAAGAAATGTATATTTTTCTGGGGGTATAAAATTGACTTGATTCATGTAGAATCATGTAGGTTTTTTAGCTCTCTCTATATTTATTGTCTATGGCAAAAATATTGATTTGTAGAGAGACAAAACCCACACCACTGTTACATCACTCATAATGGAAAATTACTAGACTAGCCCAGACACTTTTCTGTTTTTCATAGAAGCTGCACAGATTACTATAATTTGATATAATTACTCATTATGTTAGGATAAGAAGACCCCCCCAGTGAACTCTCTGGTATGTCGAAACACCATCATTCCTCCTACCCAGGGTGAGGGCTATCTTGTTGCAGCTCAGCCAGTCAGGTGAGAAAATGAGGTCATTTTATTTATTTATTTATTTATTTATTTATTTATTTATTGTAACTTTGAGGGCATAATGCACATCATGAAAATCTTCGGGGGGGGGGGGGGGGGGGGGATTTTACTGGTAAAGGGGTGTTTGAAATTTGTTATGTTATTCCATCACTAATGCCTTGTGTTTGCCATTGTAGTCTGGGTGACAGCTTGCTCTATCTAACATCAAATGACACTGACCTCAGCAAGCAGACTAAGAAGAATTTTGATGGTGAAGGTACGTAATACCTGTACAAGAAAGTCTTAATCATAAGTTTCAGTAAGTGAATAATGATAATCTTAGAAGAGTGAATGACCTCAGTCATCAAGGACTAGCAGTAAATAAGGAATATAAATTAATCAAATGCTGGAACTCACTTTGTAATTGACAATGATACAAAGTTACTTGTCGAAGATTTAAGATTAAGATTGTAGTGTTAAATTGTCAACCTCCAGTAATCGAATCACTTATATTCCTCTATGATAATCTTGTCACTTAAAGGATTTATTTTTTTAAATGACAAAAAATATTAATAAAAGGATTAAATATTAGTCAAATTATTTCCTGTCTCAGAATGTTTGAAATACTTTATTTTTATCACAATAAATAAAAAAATCTACATTCTACATATTTCAGATTTGGGACTACTGGTGCACTATGTCCACAGAAGTGAAATGTAAGTGGGGCATATATATGCTGAACTAGTAAACTTGTATACCAGTGCATTAAGATGAATGTCTTGGGATAAATGACTTAACTTTGTCCTTGCAGCCAGATAGAGAACAATAAAGGCTAATATATCAAAAACATTTTAATTTCTTCTTTCAAGAAAAGCAAGACTACTCCAGTAAAGCGGGATTTAATTTTCTACTTCACAAGATATTTTAATTGTGGTTATTTTTATAAAAATTTTATTTCACCAGTTTTCCTGATAACTGGGTTTACTTTTCCCTTTGTGATCTTACTTATTTATTTATTTATTTTTTTTTTTAATCATTCTTAATAGTGGCACCAATGCCTGCCCCTCTGGCCGTACCACTGTGATCACCCTGAACTGTGACGTGACGCAGAAGGGACAGGGCAAGATCCAAGTCCCACCCAAGTGCTCAGACGGAACCTGTGACGGCTGTAATTACCATTTCCTGTGGAGCACCGAGCATGCCTGTCCCATCTGTAAAGAGCTGGATTATGAAAAAGTGATTGGTCAGTGTGTAAATGGTGTCCAGGAAGTCCATTATTACCCACCTAAGTAAGTCTTGTGAGGTAGAAACCATAAAGTTGTCCGTGAGGTAGAAACCATAAAGTTGTCCACTTTGTTTTTGTGATGGTAGCGTGTGATGTGTTTATAAGAAAGAGCGATAATGTCATGTTGACTTTTTTGTTAAATAAAAAAGGCTTTATTTTACTGTTGCTAATTATATATTTGTTTTTTAAAAGGAGTGTGCAGTATATGTGTATGTGAGAAAGAGAGAATATTTTTGTTGTTTTTCTTAAATGAAAAAAAAATTGTATTACCATAACTTATTTTTTAGTTCCTTTCAATGATCCTGAAAGTCTTGGTTAATGTGGTGACTGTCTCAAATTGAAGAAAAATGTTTGCCTGGTAAAATTACAGTATTATTCATTGTGCCCTTTCCAGACACTGCATTTTGACCAGTAATTCCCAGCCTGTTATTGAGAAGAGGCATTGCAGACTGATTCCTTTTTGGGCAAGTGTTCTGACTGTAATCAGGTCAATTACCTGCATGGCTAAACTCTTATAAGTTAACATCCATTTTTACCACAGCCTCCACAGCCAGCAGTGTTTAGGTTGTAGATGTAACCTTCTAACGTTTTGCAAACCGAAGTCCTTACCAACATATGCTTTTAAAGTAGTAGTGTATTTTTATATATAGAAACTGTAACAGTTGTTGTTTTGAATCACTACAAAAATATTTTATTTTGTTTTCTATTTCTTTGAAATTTTTAGGCCATGGCAGGCATTGGAGGAATAGTATTCCTTGCTGCTCTTTTATGCGGACTAGTCATCTTCTGCTGGTCTAAAAACAAGTCGTAAGTGGGGAAAAATGTGCTAATTTCAGTACAATAAGTGTGATTGTGGTGTAAATAATATTTTTTATTCTGAGTTGGTGGTAAGACAGAAAGATTATCAAATATTCCTTCGAAGATAAATTCAAACTGACTCAGAATTCTTTCTTATGTGATTTTGCACCTTTGACAATTACCTATGTAACTGTTTTCACACAAAAAAAGTGATTCCTTTCTTATGACAATCAGTTGAAAGAAAATGGTTGAAATTGTGTATTAGAATGCTAATTTAATGACTTTTTTTTCCCCCTAAAAGTTTGGAGTACAAGTACATGAAGTTAGTGGAGGGTAGTGGACAAGACGGAGAGCTTCCCGCAGCAGAGACTTGCGCGTTGGATGAAGGGGAAGATGAGGTTATGGACAGCGTTAAATTTTCAGGGAAAGGTTTCTTCAAGAAACTTAAGTCCATGGCTGGAAAGGTGAGACACTGAGGCCAATGTATTTATGTTTGTGTGTCTTTATATATGCCTTTGTATTTGAGAGAGAGAGAGAGACATTTTGTGTGTCTCATGCCTGCACATGTCTCTGTCAGTTTTTAGTCAATAATTTAAATTTTGTTATAATCTGTGAGGGAGAATGGTGAAAGACCGAAGTCTTTTGACTATTAATTTAGCCAGTAGATGTCACAATGGCAATACTTTATATTTGTAATTGTCTTTTATATAGAGCTTACATTCCAGAGATACCAAGTAATAAAATCCTCAAAAGTAGAAATAGCAAGGAAAATTCAAAACTAAAATTGCAATGTTTAAAAAAGCATTTTACTTCTAGAACATTTTGATAGAACTTCATTGATTGTTGCTTTTAAAAAGTTTTAAAAATCTTAACTAAAGAAGGAATAAATACATTTACAATTCAAAAATATTTGTTCTTCTGACAAATAACAATATATATTTTGCCTCTGTTATTCTTGAGAAAATAGTTTTCATGTTTCACTAGAAATGTCCAACATTTTCTTTTACTTTATTTTTTCTTGTGAATTGCTCACAAAAGGATGCAAATAAAGACAAAAGAGGCTATTTTGATGTAAGTAGGCAGTTAGTTGTTGGGTGAATTTTATATTAATTTGTTTTTAACTTAGTTGATATTTTTATCTGCTGTATGACTTCTTATTTTTTTGGTCATTTTAATTTCTACCTTTAACCAGATTATGTGTTATCAAATTTTCACATAGGCACATAACCTCAAATTAGTTTTTAAGATTTTATTTTTATTGTTATGTACAGACACAGATGTGTCTGTACATATTGCCATCACCTGCGTCTGTCGTCGCCGATGCCGATGCCGTCGCCGATGCCGTGCACTTTCCTTGTAAACACGATAAGTGGAGGACAGTTTTACTTTTTGGCTGTATATTTACAGAGCTGATGAATATTCATAAAACGCAGGTCAAGTTTGAAAATCAGCTTGATAGGGCCATTATTGTAGAAGTTATGCTGTTTTTTCACTTTTCAGCATATATGCAACACTGTAAACACATTTCAAGGAAAACTGATAGGCCTGTTGTCATGAAACTCACAGGAGTAATCAATCTTATTATAACGCAATAATAAGATTGGTCAAGTTCATAAATCAGCATGATCGGGCCATTATTTTAGTAGTAATGCTGTTTTTTCATTTTTCAGCATATATGCAACACTGTAAACACAATATAAGAAAAACAGATAGGCCAATTGTCATTAAACTCACACAGGAGTGGTCATTCCTGCTAAAATGCAGGTTGAGTTTAAAAAATCAGCATAATCGGACCATTAAAGAAATGCCATTTTTTCACATTTCCTCAGATTTAATTCTTAGGCAAGTTAACAGTTTCATTATTTAATTAATAAGATACGTAAAAGTGTTTGTTTGGCATTTCCTGCATCTTTACAACATTATTAGTTGATTATGTAAAAATGATGGTAAACTTGTTATCGTGTATTGTGTAATAAACTTTCAAAAATGGAAATAAACTCATATCATTGCAGTTTGTCAGATTCAATCATTAAAATTTGATGTTGAATTTGCAGTTTAACATAATGTACTTTTGCATCAGAATTGACAGTAGCCTATTTTGTGCATAGTTATTTCCTGTTTTTTGTCTGTACATTTGACAGCTTTGCTGCCTTGTTTACAGAATGGATAGTGAACCCATTTTAAAATAGACTTTCATATTGAAATAATGTTTATGTTTTAGACCCATATAACCGTTAAGAAAGATATCTTAACCATCAGACATTTTCAATTTGATTTGGATCACCTTTATTTGGAATTAACTTTTAGTCAAACTTTGCATAAAGCATGGCAATATATCTATACATTTCTTGTTCTTCCTTTTACAGAAGCATTCCTATCTTGCCAATCAGATTTTGTGATAATAGACTGATAAGTTTAAGTATATGATTTGATTAGTAAGTAATTTATTAATCTTTTCAGACTGATGATGACAACCCATTTGAAAGTATTAAACTGACAGAGAAGTCAAGTTTAACCTAAAGAGCTTTACAACCACCCAAAGACATTTACAACCACCTAAAGAACTTTAAATGACCAGAGAGAAGAACTAGACATGAATCTTCAGCTGTGATTATTAGATATGAAAAGGAGACTTGGGCTCTGGAATGTTTAAATTCATAGTATAGTGGTTGAGTTGTCATGTAAAAGAAAAAAAGGAATTGAACATGCATTGGTTAGTATGTATCAGACAGTGATTGGTTCTTCAGACATTTTATTGTCAAATGTTGATGGCCCAGATGTCGATAATTATGTACACAGTCATTTTAGTTATCTCTCCTCTTTTACATTTACAGATTTAGGTTATTTTTTTCTTTAGGTATTATAACCGGTTAGAAATGCTATGTATTGACCCTTTCAATGAACCAGTCAAGTGAAGAGAAAAATAAAAGGGAAAAATGTTCCTGTACTCTGGGAACTTGTTATCTTAGCAGGATTTTTTTTATGAATACATTTAAAAGTAAACAGCTGCATTTACTGTAAATGTCATTTTGCAGATTTAAGTGAGTTGGCTAATTGCATTTCAATTATTTTTTTTTTACCTTACCAGCTCTGTTTGTTTCTCATCTCTTCTTTGTAAATATTTAACAGCTGAGCTGAATTGATCTTGTATCTGTATGACCACATACAGATGTCTGGTGATAGTCATTATAGATTGTCTCTCATTACATGTTATAGAGGTTTCAACTGAATTTATACCAAAATGTGGTTCTTTTGCATTTTTTTCTTCATAACAGCTGAATTATCAGGTGCTTTTCATTAATCCAATTTATTTTCTATTGTCAGTTGTGCAATTTGAAGCAATTTAGTATTGTATTGTATATATTCTAGACACATAAATTGCAGCTTTTGAAGAAAATGCCCTAGTCGAGCTACAGCTGAGAGTTAAATGTCTAGAAATGTTAACTTTCATCTTCAAGTTTGAGTAGCAAGCTTGCAAGAAATAAATCTTAAGTTCAGATAACGCTGGGAGGCCTTATAAGCTGCTGAGTTGCAAAACATTAGGAGCATGTGCACACCCTAAAAGAAATTAAATTTTCTAGCTTCCATGTCTCTTTATATTGAATTAAATTTTTTGTAGCACAGAATAATGGGAAAGTCATTGTCACTTGAGATCTTATTTTTCACTATTCTTATGTTTACATTTATTAGATGTTTTTCATATATAGTCATTAATTTAGCTTTCAGTGTTTACTTTATACTAATATCTCTTTATTAAAACTTCAGTGCATTTACAGCTTTATTTAAAGGATGGGCTACCAGTATGTAGAGTCTGTTTTTTCTCAAATGCAGTGTAATGTTGTCCTATGTCAGATTGTTTGGATATTTTTCATTTTGTTGATAGTCTGTTTATGTTTTAATTTATATTTATTTTTGAAATAATAGAAGAATGTTGACCTTTACTGACATTCTTCTCACTTTTTCAGACATTCCTCCCTCCTTATAAGATTTATTATTAACTTGATAGATTGAGTGTCTTTATCCCCTTAATTATATTAATAATCTGTTTATTATATATATCTTGGGGGTAACACTGTATGTAGTGTTTCACCATGACACATTAAATGGCTAACCTTCCTCTTATGTTTCATAAACAGTACACAGTTGTCTTAACACAGAATTTCTCAGCTGTGTCCTCTGCCAAATCTGAATGTTAATAGCCAGTTCAGAAACCTGCTGGTTACAAAGAGTGCATGCTCTGTCCTCTCTGGGCTTTTTTTTTCTCCATCTTTCCATTTCCATGGCAAAGTTAACATTGGTTTAAATTTACTACAGGCAGTTTGCTTGAAAGGAAGTATTATTGGATAGTTTTTCAACTCAGTATGACGCTGCATTATTTTATATATTATATGCTAAGGTAATTTGTGTGATGGTTTTGTTGTCAGGGTCTAATATTCCATTGCTTTCAAGCCCCAGTAAATTGTGTATTATTATGCAGATTATGAAACCTGTAATGATCCTTCAACAAAACTTCCCAATCCCCCCCCCCCCCTTTTCTTTTACAGGTCAATACTTCTGTCTTTGTTGTAACAGTGTTCCTAGGCAGCTGTATGTTGCACCATAATTATGGGACCAGGAGATTGACATTCTGTAGTCTAGTATCACTATCTTGGCACCAGCTTCCAAGTTGTGGACAACTGCCCACCACTATGCCACTTACTGTTAAAACATTCACTGCACATGTAATATTGACCTTTGCCATAGCTGACAACTGACGAAAAGATACTAGCAAACACTTCATGATGCTTGTATCCTTCATGTAATAACATTTCAATTTGTCTTACAGTTAATTCAGATTGCCTGACAAATTTGAACTCTTTTGCTGAGTCCTAAATGGCAAAAGTATATTGCACCCTACAATAACAGTATGTTGGTTGTCAGGGTCCTGCTGTTTGATATCCTTACGGCTGGAGCCAGTATGAGGACACCAGCTACTAAACAGTAGACAACTGCCCACCAGTTTTGAAGTCAAAATATTGTCCACAAGGAACTTTGACATGTTTTTTAAGAATCAAAATATGACATAAAAATTGATTTAAAATAACATACCTTTTCACATTCATTGACATATGAATAGATCATTAAATCTAGAAAATCTAGAATATATTGCTGCACCAAATTTGGTAAATAAATACTTTGATGATTAATTCCATTCAAAATCTATCCTCCCTCCCCTTTTATACATTTTTTAAAATTTATTAATTTATTTGGTTGGTTGGTTGGTTGGTCGGGGGGGGGGGTATTTCTTTTCAAATGAAATGCAATAAAATCAATGGAGTTTATAAAAAAAAACTTCCTTGTAAACAAAACTGTCAGACTCCATCCCCCCCACCACTCCTAATTCCTCCCAATGAAAAGTTCAATGAACTGCTTTAGTGGCTGTTAACTGCCTACTTTACATTTGTCTGACAAATTTGAACTCTTCAGAGTCCTTTTGCTAATTGATGATGAAGCCTTGAGTAGCATTTTGTAGGCTCCCAGGGTCCTGCTGTTTGACCCCCTGGAGTCTGGTGCCATTATGGGGACACCACCTACCAAACAGTGGACAACTGCCCATTACTTTGGCCATTAAAACATTCTCTACAAGGATAATATTGACCTTTGCCATATCTGTTTAAAAATAAAATGTGAAATAAAGTAAAAAGTGGAATAAAAAAGTATATAACTTCTCACATTCATTGACATGAATATTTTAATATGAGGTAAAAGCTAGTAATCTGTTGTTGCATGGAAGTGGTCAATAAATACATGTTTAATTCCTTTCTTAATTCATCCTCCTTTTTATTATTATTATTTAATTTATTTAATTTATTTTTGGTGGGGGGTGTCTTTGAAACTGAAATTCAATAAAATCAGTACAGTTTTTTAAACTATATTTTTCCCCTTTTCAACAAAACTATCACACACCATTCTCCCTTTCCCATTCTCCTAATGCACTGCAATAAGTTGATTAGTAGCTGTTAATGGCCTCCTCTGCTAAAGCAGGATGTTTACAAGTTCAGATTCCTCCTGGATCTGGAAGGACCTTCTACATTGAAGTAGGAACGGAAAAATTTTAAAGAATTCCAGTCTGAACTACGAGTTTCATGTTTATCTCTCTGTATCAAGGCATTATTATACATGTACATAAACTGATAGCTTTTGCAAGATTTTCATTCCTTTTATAAGATGATAGTGATATAAAATTGTCCCATAAGTTTATTAAATTGTCATACATTCCATAAAGTGTAATTTGTGTATTAAATACGAGTATAGTACTAGTTAGGATTACATTTTTGTCATGATAATTATTCACAGTGGACAGATCAATCTTTTTTTTTTCCACGGTATCTTTAAAGTGGACTGCTTTTGTAATAACTTTAGTGAGCTGTTTGTTGCAGGGAAATATGACCCATTTTGTTACATATGGGACTTGTTAGAAACATTACTGATGTCTCGTCTTCTTTGAGTATCTTCTTAATCATTATTTTGTGTATGAAATATATCCATATATATTTATGAGGGGACCCACATGTGAGCATATATTAAACATTGGTTAATGATAATTACCAATGATATATTCTTCCATATTTGTGATTTGTCAGTTTTTTAAAAAACAGTTTCTGGCACGAACCCATCTTTCAAGTTATATATTCAGAACTGTTTTTGGTTAATGTAGTAATTTACTATTGCTTGCATTTAGGAGTCATGGTATAGAACTTTGCTGAGTTTAAGGTTTTGTTTGTGTCTGGGGTGTTGGATTGCCACTGTTTGATCAGTTGGCATTTGTAATTTCAGATGTGTATATGTATTAAGTGTTTAATAAGAAGTCCTTAATTTTGAATTTGGTGTAATTTTTCACCATTTTTTGCCTGACAAAATTGAACTTTGCTACAGAGTTTCTTGGCAAGAGTATGTTGCAGCACACTGGTCTGAACTGAGGATCCTGGTGGCTGCCTCTCAGTAGTCTGGTGCCACTAAGGGGGTTCCAGTAACCAAGGGATGCACAACTGCCCAAAATTTTGGCACTTAAACCAGAATAACTGGAACCAGAATAATTGGAGCTGTTGCCATGTTTGTTCAGAAAGTATAATATAAAATAAAAAAGTAATTTAAATGAAAAATGTATCTTTTCACATTTATTGCCATGGATATGAAGGAACATAAAATATATCGTTTAAATTCTGTTGTTGGCAATGTTGCACTGAAGTGGGCCAATAAATGAGTGGAATTGGTTTTAGAAGATTTCAAAGAAATACAAAAACGTTTCCAAAATCAACTGAAATATGTTAAAAGTTATCAATAGTGGTTTATATGTTTAAAAAATAAGCATTTTCTCTTCTTGATTTAAGAACACAAAACTGAAGATGATTTGAATTTGTTGTAATGAACCTTTTCATACACATGAATGAATGAATGAATAAATGTCTCAATCTCATATAATTTTTGTACGCTTAATTCAAGCGTGGGCTCGAAATAGGACATTACGTTTTCGACTTAGGCCTACTTAGGGGATAACACAATCTAAAGATTCCACGGTTCGTGTCAGCTTTACGTAAAGTCGCTCAAAGAAAACCCAAGGACGCATAATGACCAGTTAAGGGTTTATTAGCTACATGTTCCAGGTGAACTCACCAACTCCTTACTCTCCGAAATCACGAGTGCTCCGTCTCTCCCAATCTCTTTTCCCCCCGAAGTATCAATTCCGATCGCTTATACTGAGTATATTAATTTCTTATCTAAGGTGGATGCACGCAAACTTTTATTACTTATAATTGTATAGTTAATTTCTTTACATCGGCATTATACCAAGTGGCCGCCATATTACTCAAGAACTTTTGGACCACAAGGCGTCACCTCATATCATATGACCTCATAAGATATCTTTTTGATCTTTATGGCGGACACGACATTGTGCTATTAAAATCTATTAGATAAATTGCTCAGTGAACCAAAGAAAATGTCTGATTTAAGTTATTTTTCTTTATATACTTGTACATTCACAAATGTTGACAAATGAAATCCGGTGAAACATGTATACCCATCCAACTGATGTCCAATTTTAAGTACCTCCTTTTTTGCATAATTCTCCCTCAAAACAAACTCTCCCAAGTCAGATATATTATTTCGAATAAAAGAATTATTGTACGCTATCATAGACTTTATCATAAAATCAAACGAGCCCAGAACATGGTGTATAGGAAGCGCAACCGAGCCGCCCGCAAGACAGGAGAGCATTCTACCACTGAACTACCGATGCTCAAATCGTCCAAACAAATTAGCCCATCCATCGGCCCTCCCCCGTCACTTTGAAACAACGGTGTTGTTAGCTCAAAGCCAAGGTCCGGTAGGGCAACACAACACACATACCACAATATTTTGAAAACTCAGTAACCAATATGCCTTTTTCTTTCAAATACCAATTCACACCTTTATTTCTGTCAGACGCGGCGCTTAACATAATCACAGGTAAAAATCTATGTGGGTCTAGCCCTGCCACCCACAGATGAGCCTGAATAATGCAGTAACCCTTAAACCCCCTTTACACTGGACGGGGCGGATCCAGAGATATTTTCTGACAGTCTTCCAAATTATCTTTGTATGCTAATCCTCCACTGCCCCGTCCCCAACCCCGCATGTGCTCTCACACACACACACACACACACACGCACGCACACACACTGTCACACACACCTGTCATTACCCGGCCTGGGGAGTACGACGAGTTAATTGTTTACGAGTTCTAGCGTACTCTCTGGTCAACTACCAGGCATTTTAATTGCATCAGCAATTATTAAGATTATCAACTTCTGATAGTTAATTTGGAAGACTGTCAGTTTTTGATATGATCTAAACCACTCGAGGCGACTATAGTTTCAAAGCCAAGGTCCGGTTGGCTGTCACGGAAGTGAATAAGAATATCACGGAAGACCGTCAAAGACAAAGCAAGAAGAGTGTCAACGTAATCCAGAAAAATCTTGACCGTCTTCCGATAAAAAAATAAAAAGGCTATTGCTATTCGCGCAGGGATCACCCAAGGAACTGTCTACAAGATCATCGCCCGGGACTGTGGCAGCTTCACGAGATACCACCTCTGTGATGCAGCCATATAGCATTGCCTTTTGATGAGCCTGACATTCTTTTCTTAATCCATACTTCCTTGAACACGACGTATTATTGTCAATAAATATCCAACTTTGTAATTGACGACCACAAGGGAATCAAACGAAAAAAAGCCAACACTTACACAATAATCTGAAAGAAGAACATGAAATTATGATTTAAACATTACTGAGATGGGTAAATAATGTATTTTGTCTTTATTCTATATCTGTCAAAATATCTCATCATTTTAGCATGAGTGCAGATATTTTCGATTGCTAGTGAATGATTCAAAATTACCGGTCAGTTACACGATCAAGATAAACCCCGCTGTTAGGTTTGTACGGAATATCTTAGTTACAATGAGATATTGTTACCTTTAAACTTCATTCTGTCATATATAAATAACTTTATGCACCACTGTAGATATCAGGTGTGCAGAAGGCACGCAAATGAATTAATTGCGGAGAAGAGATTGAATGTTTTTGTAATCATTGATAATGGCCACTGTTACTGAGACACCTGTTACCGACCAAAGACCGTATTACATGTACATTGAACGAAAGGACATGTAGATATAATTTCATTACATCTATTTTCTATTTTTTCCGATATATGTTAAAGTACATAAATGGTACAAGAATATTCCAACGGCATTTTTAAAATCAAATTTAAAAATCACTAGCGGATTTTTTCGAAATGGAAGTGGGCACATGCACAGAAATTCACTCGCTCCGACGTCATATTTAAAACAGAACAATTACAAGCTAAGGACGATAAAAGGGTGGGAAATTTCTGGGTGTATATATCTCGTTTCTTTATAGGCCTTTTTTTGGAGGGGGGAGGAAGTGTGTATGTTGTGAACATTTTTCTGGGATCAGTAACGATTGAAGTTTGGTTGTAATCTGAACATGTGAATAAGACCAGACCCGAAAGACTGCATATTTTAAAGAGACGGTGACATCCCTTAATCCACCTAGAAAATATTTTACATCATACTTAAATGGTCAGGAAATGTGTGCAAGCAAATGCTTTTTTGCCTGAAGCAACCTCTCAACTCATTTAAGCAGAACACGCGTGCGAGGCTATGATGTACTGCAATCAGAATCATATCGTGATACCTTTCAGGCCCTTTAAGAAAAAGTGGCAAGAAAAAATCACTTATCTACACAAACATGAATGAAAGTGCTGTTGTGAGGTTGTCTTAAGAGAGAGGACATGCGGCTATTGCGCAAGAAACATAAATGGCACTTAGTCAAGAAACGGCTACAGGGTATCTCTGTAATTCTGTATAGAGTTTTTGTAATCGTTGATAATGGACAATTTGGTGCGAGACACCTGCTCCTGGTCTCAGAATAAACATATATATATATATACTTGTATATTCCAAAAAGTGTTCAATCCATAAATGTCTGTTGGCCTTTTATGGTGAGGAAACTTTAGAAGACGTTTGCTTCAGCTTGCTTCTGTCATAAGTACTGGATGAGATCAGGTATATATCAATTCTTTACGGTTCGCATGATATATTAAACGACAAGATTAATTGCCAGTTACCATTTATCCTGAGCCTCTGAAGTTCTCCTTTATTGTTGTTATGTGTTTCTTGTGACCTCTAAAACTGGGGGGTTGTCAATCTATTCTGGTATGCATATCATCGTGCGACCCTTCTGAGAGCGCTGTCTGATTGCAATCAGCTCACAGTAGAAAGTCAATCTAATCCCTTAGTTGTACCGCACACAACCGTTGTGATTAAGACGAGTTCTTGAGTTAAGTGAGACTGTCTTCCTTCAATGGGCCAATCTTAATCAGACGACCTTATTCCATGGTATGTTGGAAGTTGGGTCCACTCATTTTGACTGGAACACTGAACGCTGTAGCTGTTTACCACATAGATTTTTGTGTGAATGTTGGGTTTTACTACAAATTTACGAAATCAAAGCCCAATGAAAGTCCTTAAACAATACAAACATTAAACTTATAATTTCAGAAACTATGTATAGATGAGAGACATAAATCTTAGAGATCACTTTTCTAGACTTAAAGTATGCAAAAATTCCAGACACAGCGGCGACAGTCTACTGGCCTTTACAAAAATAAATAAGCTGAAATGTTAAATGTTTTGTAATGAGCAGATTTTTGAAAGAATGACTTCGTTACTAACCACATCTTCTCTTAGCTCATTAAAACGAATGGAATAGAATTTAAGCAATAATGACAATAACTATTAAAAACACAGAAGCTGAAGGAAAATGTCATTAGTTATTTCTTTTAAAAGCGTGAACTTTGAGCTGGTGCCTTGGGTTTTACTGGCCGTTTCACACTCCCATTCACTTAAATCGTTCCACGACCAGGGAAAATCTTTCAATCAGACCAGACAAAATTGGTAAGTATTTAAAAAGAGCGACGACCTTCTGTAAAAAAGGGTCGCAGTTTATTTTTGATTCATTAGTAAATGCAGTTTAACAAACATAATTCATTTATTTATTTTAAAGCCTTTACTGGGGGA